GCAGACCCAGTCTGTATGCTCGGCAAATAGTGGTATACAGACTGATCCACAGAGCGACGCTCTGCAGTCCTGCCGAAACCGTTTATGTCGTGGCCGTTCCCTTAACCTTTCAACGACACAAAAGAGGGCCAGCCAGAGTTGTCCAGACTGGCCGATGTTGAAGACTGAGGAATCAGTTTTGATTGTCATACACAGATGGGCCAGCGCGAACCCTCTGCTACCTTAGCAATAGTGCCATTGATAGATCGGTAACGAACAAACCGGTGCAAGTGGCGCTGCAAGATGAGGATGACGGGCCCTTCCGCTTCCGAGAGGCGGTGATCAGGGACAGCGTCCGCGGTGAGCATTCTTGGGTGTTTTTTGTCAGTATAGTGCCCGCGGCAGATGGGAATGCTGCAGCGGGCTGGGAAGCGGTCGACCGTTGTCAGGTCATCGTCCAATTACCGTCGGCCCTCACACCCCGTGCCAACATCAGTAGTGACCTGCATTATGCCAAGCAAGTTATCCCATTTCCCGGAGCGTCGGCCGTCCTACAGAAAACAGCGGACCGCTACCGTTTCGTTCAGCGTCTCCGTGATGCTTTGAATGGTCACGAGTACCTGAAGAAGCTGCGTGACAGCTGTCGCTTCCATCTCCGCATCGGGACGGACAGCTGTACTTTTATAATCCTCAGCGCCCCGGCAGAAATCATGACAGCCGAATGGAGAACCACCAAGTTGTGGCAGGTGCTGCACCAGCATCGCAGCGACCAGGCCCTGCTCAGCACGCAGCTGAACGGTCCATCACTCCCCACACTCACCATGAAAGGCATGGACTTTGGCCGTTTGATTCCTCCGCTGTGGACGGAGATCCTCCTGCATTTGGACCTCTGGACACAGGCGGCCATGATAAGGTCAGCGTTGACTATGTTTTGTTACACAGACAAGTTCATAAAAAAACGGGATAGACCTGTTTACATATAGCTTGCACAATTTTATGACTTTGAAACAGATATTATTTGCACACTGGGTTTTCTTTGAAAAAAAAACTTTAATAAAAGACCACCAATCTTAGAGAGCGCTTTTTTTTCTACGAGCACGTCTATATCTATTTTTACCGTAATATATCTATCTTTACTGTATGCGAAGCAAAAGTGGTGTATCGCCTTGAATCATCTCAACTCGAGTGGCCAGAGTTACAGTGGAAGCCATAAATGTTGTTACACAGGACAATCGGTCTGACCATGAGGACCGATATTTTAACGGCAAGGACAACAACACTCGTACAGATAAGGTTCTGGTTGCGCGCGGTTTGAGTGTAACCGCCTTTATGGAGTCCACTGTGAATCAGAATAGGCAGATTCCGATAAAACAAAATGTGCCCCGTCATCATACACTCATTTTTAGCTGGTTACAGCACTAAGGTACAACCAGGTGAACCTCATAGAATGTTAATGGCAGGAACGCTTGTAACCGTCCAAAACGACCGGTCGTCTCAGACGACCGCCGGTCGTTTTGGCCTCTAAACCGTCCGAACCGACCGGAGGCCGCTAAATGACCGCCGTAAATTTTGCCCGCCCAGTTTTTTTTGCGTTTTTAAATACAACGAAAATGCATGAGTTAAATTTTGTATCCGGTCGTTCCTGCCTGAGTTTAAATTCGCATCCAGTCGTTCCTCCCGAAGTGCAGTTTCGTATCTGGTCGTTTCCGCCGGAGTGTAATTTCGTGTCTGGTCGTTTCTGCCGGAGTGTTGCTACGTATCCGGTCGTTTCTGCCCGAGTGTAAATTCTATCTGGTCGTTTCTGGCGGAGTGTTGTTTCGTATCCGGTTGTTTCTGCCAGATTGTAAATTCGTATCCGGTCGTTTTAGCCGGAGTGAACCTTAGTGGTAAATTTCGACCAGATGTACTGAACTAGGGGGTAAATTCCTACTCTGAGATATGGATCCAGGTGGTAAATTTTCACCCAGGAATGTGTACGTAGGTGTAAACTACCGCTAGATGCTTGCATCTAGGTGGTAAATTCCCACCCAGAGGCGGCAAGTTTTTACAATCCGGCAGAATGGCCCGGATACGAAATTACACTCCGGCAAAAACGACCGGATATGTAATTTAATTTATTCCTTTTGGCTGAAATCAAAATCGCAAAAAAAACTTGCTGGGCAAAATTTACGGCGGTCGTTTTGCCGGCCCCCGGTCGTTTCGGACGGTTAAGAGGCCAAAACGACCGGCGGTCGTCTGAGACGACCGTTCGTTTTTGACGGTTACATACGCGCCATATTAGCGCGTAGCAACCGGCATGGTTGTGTTGAGCTGTGGAGGACGCATTTTATGTGGTACTGCGGGTATTTCGTTGTTATCATTATTCGGTATCCATCCGGCCAGAGTGGCACAATAAATAACTGTGCCGAAACGTGACACGGCTGATGACCTTTCATTTGTGACAGGGTATGCGTAGTGTGGCAGCAAATTCTAAGTAATCCGCGCAACACGCGGCACATTATCATGCGTTGCCGGTTCTGCAGCACCCGCGCAACAGAATGCAGCGTGAGCGACCCCACCACACTGCTGATGCTGTTTCGCTCCATCCGACCCACTACAAAGAGCCTGACGATCCATAGCCTCCAGGACGGATGCGAACTGTCTTATGCGTGCGTGTACTTGTTCTGGCTCATTAAATCCCGGCTGCCGCTGCTAATCCTGCACGACTGCAGCCTCAATTTTGGCGGCTGCGCTGGCATCCATTTTTTTGCCTTGGACGTTACTATGTTCAGCGATTACGCCCAGCGCATCATCATCCGCCAATGGACGTTGTGCAATCTGTTCGGTCGCGCCATGCAGGCGTTGTTCGTGTCTCCCGAGCACCAGGGTGATCCCGAGCCTTTACCGCTGACGGAGCAACAGTTGATGGTTCCGCTGCACCCACCGGCGTTTCTGGCCATCGACCAGATGCAGATCACTGTGGCCAACCTGGTCTTCCACTGCGACACGGGCATGTACGCCATGGCCAGCCGTTTCATGTGGACCGTCAACGCCCACTGTCCACCGGTCAGTGATGACCTTTACGCCAATGTGGCGCACGTGCACCAGCATTGGGTGCGCAGCCTGGATTATCCTGTGCAATGGACGGCAATTCGCGCCTACTTCTGTGTGTAAGTGACCGAAGTGAGTCTTTTTTTATTCCAGCTTTACATTGATGCAAGCCCTTAGGCCTCGTCCCCTTTCTAAAGCGTATATCGTTACGATACAGCACCGTATTGGTGCGCGCCACGTTGATGCAGTACAGACTTCGCATATCAAAACTGGGCTCGCTATCGGTTTCCTATATCGAATCTCTAGCTTTGGCTCCGTATTACTGTACTTGCGTCCCATCGCTTCGATCACAAATCGCACTGTTTACCAGTTTTTTTGTGCATTTTTATTTCACTTGGGATAAATTCGAGGGGATGCCTACAGTCTTAGTTAGTTCCTAGTTTAAATTACGAAATGTTGTTCCTCATTTGAATTTTGTCTTTGGCATCATCGTCCGTCGTTGGTGATGAGCCAGATCAGTCGCAAACCACCTCTGGAGGTGGCTTCCCGTACCGTATACTTTTTCTTTGTATTTCAGGGTATGCGCAAAAAGCGCGCGTATTATTTTTGGTTGATATGAGACGCGGGGTTGGTGCGGGTTGTGAGATTCGGTTCGCGGGATACCGTATCAGAGAGTTGTGAAAACGAGACGCAATCGGTTACGCGCCATACCCCCGTCCTGAATCTTTGCACTGATAACCAGGTACGCGAATCGAAAACGGCCGTACCGTATCGCGTACCTGCTGTTCTGAGACGGTGGTGTACTGTACGAGTACGGAAGCTACCTTAGCTTCAGAAAGGGGACGAGCCCTTACTATAATGTGAGAAGGACTGGTACCTAACCGTTTGACGTCATCGCTCTAGCATACACTGGAGGGCGACTTCCATGGTGACAAATGCGCATTTTCGTCGGTTTTCTCAGCAAATTTCTTTTCTCTTCTATTTCTAGCCCCCGAAATTTGGGTTTTTATACTCAGTATGATCTGTTAAATTATTAGGAAGCGTTTCATGAGAAAAAAACTTGAGAACATCTTTTAAAAGGGGCAAAAAAATCTTTGGGACTATAGCCAGCATTAGCACAGCAGGGCTTTCTGCATGCGACAGTGATGACGTAGTGGCATGATCATTAATCAATGGCAATGATCATTAATCAATGGCAATGTTATCTCGCAGATTCAGCGGGTTCCATGGCGACGGGACAGTACGCCGTTGGGACCACGTGGACTTGCGGACGCTGGACGTGTGCCAGCTGAGCAAATTAGCGGTGCTGGGCATCAGCCAGGTCTTCCGTGTCTGATAAAAAACGGAAGAATGCACCAGTCGTGGGTACGCTTGCTTGGCGTAACTTACGTTAGCAAATTATTATACTACAATAAATACATAAAGGCGCAATGGATTCAAGAAACCGTTAAGGAAAGGAACAAAGTTTACGGGCTATGTTTTGGTTGTTACTGGAACCTCTTGGTCGTCCGGACAGTTTAGTAGCTAGTGCACCGAACGATAACCAACTGTCCGAAACCTTTTTTGATGTTGTGCACCTCATTTTCTTCCAGTATCCACGATTTGTTCTTTAACTGAGCATTTTTGGCGGGACTGCTTTGTTTTAACTTTGCTGGAAAGCAATTACGGATTGCGGGATTGGTTAAGTCGGCGTGGTTTTCGATAATCATAGTTGCTTCTCTTCAACCTCTCCAGTTCTATACGATTAAACTGCATCATCGGTTTTATTACAACCGTATCATTTTTATACTCTTTACTTGCGTACCTTTTTTCGATCTACGATTACACAATATTAATTTCTCTTCAAAATTAAAAGTGTGGCTCTGGTTGGATCTCCCGAATGATATTTAATTCCCGGGTACTTTCAAATGACTGCAGCGTGCACAGGCGGTTTAAGTACTGTAGTGCATTTTGTTGACAATATAATTATTATGACATTCCGAGCGAGCGTAGCGATATCCGGAACTTTTCATTTTCACACTTTAGTTAATAATGCATTTTTACCAAGCCATTTACATTCGCACGACGGTACGAGTATGAGTAAAGCGAACTTAATGTTTCAAGCACTCTTGAAGCAGCGTTTTCAACGGTGCGGGAAACGGCGGCAGCGCCTGATCAGGAGTCTGGTACCATTTGAGAGAAATCTGGTGTACCCAGGGCCAGGGGAACATTTTGGCCGCTTCGTTTAGCTTGTTAAAAACAGCGATTCGTTCCGTCGGGTTCCGGCGATGATAGCCGATCATGTATGTCAGCGCATCCATATAAAATACGCGGAGATACCCGAGTAACGACTTATCCGCCGCACTGGTCGTGCCTAAGAAAAGTCGTAACTGTTGTGCGCGTATACAAAAGGAAAAAAGACCCGAATTCGTATGCATGCGAATAATAATAAATTGAAAAATACCGTAATTCTAGAATTTGCACCCCTGGGGTGCAAATAGTTCAAACTTCCCGGTGAAGGGGGGATTATTTCGGGGAGGGAGCGTTATTTCGGGCGGTGTACTATTTTTCAAACATCATTTTTCCGAGGGGCCGTTATTTTTCAAACAACTGCGCATCCAGTTCTATTGATACTGAACGCAGTAGATACCGGTATTTGCAATTTTATAACCTTACGAGCAGCATTCCGAAGCCTCGCATCGCATTATTTTTGTAACGTTTGTCTGTTTATTCATTAAATCATAACAATTATTATGAAGCTATTTGCGGTATATCTATCATTTTGTGGCGCTTAACATTTAATAACGCCTCCTGGGCGGCTAATTCGGGGGGAGGCGCTATTTTTCAAACGGGTTGTGGGAGGGGGCTTATTGCGGAGGTGGGCATTATTACGGGGGGAGGTGCAAATTCGATAATTACGGTAATACAGTAGTTAACTGTTAAGAAGATTATCCTAAAACGTTTTATTTATATTACGATGCATACTCGGATCGAAAAACGCTGCGGCCAGGAGCAGATAGGATTCCGTGAGAGTCAGCCCGATCCCATTAAAAACGCCACTGAAGTTGCAGCAGAACCTTTGGAAATCCGGATCCGCTCCGACAATCTCCATGCAGTAGGTGCTGGCGTGAATCTGCTCCACACCCGGCAATGTGTAATAATACTCTCCCTTGTAAAAGTACCTCATATGATGCAGCTAGGAAAAGCAACAACAGTTGACCACGAAGAAAAATTAAGCAGCAACAGCACAGTCCCTACCAAACTGCTGATAAACTCCTTTTCCGCCAGCAAAATAGCGCGATCGGCCAGAGTAATGTCCTCAAAACCCGGCAGCATGGCGACAAACTGCGCCAGACGGGATTTGTCATCCTGGCGTTTCTCGTAGAGTCGCATCAGTGCACGCTGCTGTGATGCTTGTGGTTGATACTGTAAAAATTGTAGCAGTAAGGTCTTTGAATGGTGGGACTACATTTCGGCTTCTCCAATATTCAAGATCAAACCGGCTTTGTGGCGGTTGACCTTTTTTCAACCGCCGGTTTATTTTTGGCGTTCATGTTAACTTGGGAAAAACCATTCACGCATATTTGAGAAACCGGTTTTCGAAATACTTAATCGATAGCAAGGTGCGGCTGTATTTGTATCGCACCGCGATATGTGCACTGAGATCATACCGGTATCTCTTTGGCTTCGAGGGCGGACGTCATGAAGGCGGAGAACACGGCAATCTGGTCTCCGTAGGCGATCTCGTACGCCGCACACACCGCGCCACCGGCTTTCTGCATCATCGTATCGCGGGAACTGCTCAAATTAGCGTACCCAGCGACATACCAATTGGACGGCAAAGCTGGGCGAAATGTCGCCGCGACATTCATAAAGCTCTGAATATCTGAAACGATTATGTATGTGTTTTCAGCCATAGCACTGCAGTTTGACAAAATACGTCACAGACACGGACCGCATGGCGGGACCATTTTACGGAAACCGGAAGGAAACGTCGTCGTGGTCGGCTGGAAATCTTCGTTAAAGCGTCCACGCGGCAGCACCTGCACTGCGGTGCTGTCTCGCTGCTCCTCCAATACGGACGAGCTCGATGCTGCCTGTTCTTTAGGTGCATCCTCAGCGGAAACTGCAAAACTTGCTTACTGGTGACTACAATCCGGTAAGTGACGTGCTGCTCTTCTCTGATAACTAACTGCCATAAAACCTGAGAAAGTGTAATTATACCTCTTTCCTCCAAACAACTCCGCATGAATCGCTTCCTTGTGCTGCGTCCATCCCCATCCGCCATGGTAAGCGGGATAAATGCATTAAGAATTTTAAAACTGATCCTCCAGACGTTTTAAACGCATCTTGAGGGAAATTGTACAGAAAACTCGCTTGTCTATAATTACAAGGTCTTTCAAATGCGCACGATGTACAAGCTCTTAGGAAACTAACTCAAACCGGGAAAAATTCAAAATAGTCTACAGCAAGAAATATCATGGAACTGCGTACAGTGTTTGTCAGTGCACTGATTGTGAGATCCTACAGCACAAGACGCCGCAGGCGTTTCTAATCTCATCTTTGATTCTTAACACTGAAAGCTACAGCTGCCGGTACGTTGAATATGTGGCTTTGACGGAAAGTAATCAATAAAATACAGGGACGTCTGTACTAACATTGTATACAGTATGCTGCGAGCTGTTCCCGCCTCTCGTTGATCTTTCTTTTTCTTAGCATTGCTGATCCTGTAATTATTACTCTTCCTTTTGTCCTGCTTTATCGATTTCTCGAGGCTCGGCGATGTTTTTATGATAAATGCCGCATGACAGTGATGACACGCCCGGAAAATAACAGAGCGGAAGTTGCGTATGAATATGAGCAACATGCCTCTTGCATGCGGATACCAATAATCATGGACATTTGGTTTCCGAATAATGGAATCAAACTTGCAGTCTAACCGTAAATGGAGAAGAGGATACAAATTGCCATCGTTCATTTTTTTTTTTAGGAGCGAGCGTTTGCAAATTTTGGCTGAGTGCACCCAGGGAATTTGTGAAAACAAAAATTAATATTGCATTGCGCGTTCCTAACTAAAACGTGCAATCCTCAGTCTGAAAGTTTTTTGGAAGCGCTACAGTTACAGTAAGAAAAGAACTAGGCGTTGGAAGCATCCGTCAGAACACCAAAAACTGCATTATATAATTCGTGATTCGTTTATTCAGGAATCTTTAGTAACGTTAACCATGATTATTTCGATCGCATACGCAGCACACACGATACCGTTTGCACGTTGCTAGTTACTTCGAGGAATAAAGCACAGCTGATGGGGATGTGTGTCGGCGATAACTCCCATCGTGGGCTTTAGATCTGCCGTCTGACCGCCGTCCGGTAGGCGGACGATGAAGCGGTGCATGACGGTGGTGAAATTGGGCCCGTGCTCAAGCTCGGACTTGGACTCGGACTTGGACTACTAAAACTTGGACTCGGACCACCCTTGGACTTCTTAACTTGGACTCTTCAACTTGGACGTTTCTTAGGTATCTCAGGATTTTAGGCGTCCAAACTACAGTACGAGTAGTATAACAGACTGGCTTACAATTCAGCTTTCCCATCCAGCTTCCCCAGAACACTATTTCGGCTAATAGATTACCGCTTTGATCAAAGCAGGGGAAAAGACAAAAATAGTAGAATCCGTGGCCAGTAAAATTTACAGCGAATGGTTTTATAGCCCATGGGCGTACTGGTCGGTTTTACGACCAGAACACGCGCTGTGCCTTTTGTTCTTCTGGACTTTTTGGTCTGTCAAATACGTACAGTACATGCGACTAGACAGGGCAGTCACGCCGAATTAATGTGGTTGTTCTGGCAGTTGAAGCACATGCTTTTCTCAATCAGCTTCTCGCATCACAGGTACCGTCGGCCTTCAACCCTAATGAGAGGAACCTTCTGGTGTCTACCTTTGCGGAGTCCGGTGCATCTTCTAGTGTAGTTTTGCGAGCCACTACAAGCGCGACCAAAGGGTTACCGGCAAAAACGTTCAGCAAAGGAAGACAGGCAGGGACAACACATTCAGCGGGAGTTTTGGAATAGTTTCTGTAAGGGGCACCGTGATTTCCAGAGCGTTGAAATATCCGCCCGGCGTAAGTGCACTCCGGCGATAATGTGCTCCATACCAGCTTTCTTTAGTTCACTCCAGGTATCAAATTTTTTCACAAAACCAAGTTTATTGAAGACACTGCTTACGAAATATTTCGCTTACGAAATAATGAGAACCAAGTTTATGGTGAGTTTCCAAAGATTATTTGACTAGGGCAATAATAATTCGCTTTCAGGAGCAGGATGACCTTTTGCAGAGGCGTGACTGCAGGCCAACATCCACTTTGTCCGCTATAACACCGACTGGTGGCATCAACCTTAGCAGTTCCTCCCGGCCGGGCAGTGGCAGCGAGCTGCAGGCCCCGGACTGCGTCATGCTTTTGGTCTCGGTATCTTATACAGCGTGATTAGCGTGACTGCGGAGCGTGACGTTGGTATCGTTGGGCTGCGTTGTAAGTGGCGTTGGCTGGGCGAAGCGTTGGAGCGCCGCGCGCCGAACTCTTCGTCATTTTCACGGACCGCGCTCAAGCTCGGACTTGGACTCGGACTTGGACTACCAAAACTTGGACTTGGACCTCACTTGGACTTCGTAACTTGGACTTGGACTTCCTAACTTGGACTTGCACTTCTAAATTGGACTTCTCCTTAGAAAAAAACTGGTAAGGCTAAGAAACCTGAGAAACTTAAGAGACCTAAGAAAACCTAAGAAAATCAAGAAAACCTAAGAATCCTAAGAAACCTTTTTGTGAAATAAAATAACGGCACTTTTGCGAAAGAATAAAGCCAAAATAGTGGTGTCTTTAAATCAGAATACATAAAGGTATGATTTCGCTCATAAATTTGGTTGGAGCTGGGTTGTACAAAAGTTTTTCATCAAACTTCTAAATCAAGCGAACGGCATTTCCTTTACGTAACTTAAAATCCATTTGTGCAGATATGTGCTACTGAAAACGAACGTATCAATTATTGGACAACACTATCATGCGAATGTAGATATAACAATCGCCAGGCCACGTGCATGCTGAATGTGGCTTACATATCGTGTTGACAACATCATGACACAAAATATAGCAATAGTGATTGTTGATAATTTCGTACGAGCATATAGGTATAATACAGAGGCTCTGTAGTTCTAGTAAGTGCTTAAAAATCAATTATTGAGATCGAAACATACCGGTTCTGCTAGGAAACGCGGATGGGCGCTCTGCTTGATGTACGAGGCAAGCGACAACTCTTTCCCATCGCTTTAGTAAATTTTATCACTTTCCCTGCTGAATCTTACCCGTATGCAGGCGCTCACGTGATGCCTGATTTCAGCCGTTTCACGTCGGTTTGCAGCTATAGTTGATTGTGCAAACTGATAAAGAATACAGAGAAGAGCACGGCAGGCGAGATTTTATCGCCGGCTCAGTAAGCGCTGATTACAATGGATACGATAGCACGTGAGCGCCTGCACACCGGTAAGATGCAGCAGGGAAGTGATAAAATTTACTGAAGCGATGGGAAAGAGTTGTCGCTTGCCTCGTACCTAAATTAATTGCTCGTAATTAGTTTGACGAGCCTCGTTTACTGTATTTGGGTCGCCCTGTACCTCCATTTGAGATCAAGATTAATGCACCGGGACAGTGGTATCCGTAACAATAAGATGGGAAACAACAACTCTATAACCGCCGACAGAAAGCAAAAGATTGGCCGTAAAATGCATTATCGCTACTCTCATGCGGATTTGATTGGAAGAGGATCGTTTGGTGTTGTTTACAAAGCCAAGGTCACAAAACGCGGTGACTATGCCGGAGGCGATGTTGTGGCTGTTAAAGTAATTCAGATCTGTACTCCTGTAGATAAAGCTGCTAATCATAAAAGCTTGATGCACGCCGTGAATAAACTGAAAAGACTCACCGAACTTTCTCACGAAAATCTCGTAATGTATCACAAAGTGTCCATCACCAAAGCGTCGGTCGGGGCTACCGTGGAGTTGGCAATGGATTACCATCAAGGTAAGGCAAGCTGTCCCTTCTCCATTACTGTACATCGGCGGTCACTTCAAGTATGTAAGTGTTATCATATTTTGGTCCCCTGGTATTACATTTCCCGACCAAAAATTACCAGAAAAAAATATTTTTCACAGTAAAAACTTCGCTCATGAATTTCGAGGCATAGACATTTCCATGAAAAGACCAAACTACGAACATGAATTGCAACGAAAGTACGCTCTTGCGCGTTTGCGAATTTCAGAAATTTCGAATTCCAACATTTTCAGTTCTGTTCTGATGACTACAGCCAGTGGCGCGTTTAAGGGGGGCTCCCGGGGCCAAAGCCCCCCCCCCCCCCGTAAACTGCAGATTTGGGTACTTCAAAATGCACAACGGTACCCCTTTGAGAATGTCGCAGATATATTTCCAGTTTTCCAACGTACTCCCCCCTTGGTAAAACGTTCGTGGTAGCTACAAAACTTGAGAATACACTGTAAATCGTGTCGAAGCACTGTGCTTTGAGAGATACAGGAAAGTGCAATAAATGTACTGTAGCATAACCGAAGAAAGGTGACAGCAGCAGCCGGTGAGCAGCAATCTGCCTGCCAAGGACGCTACATAGTAGGCACACCGTCTCCCACTTTTTCATCTCTTGTGTTTTAGTCGTATATAATCACAGGTAAAGGCCATGCACTTCCGCTCGGCAGAAGTGCATGGCCTTTTATCATTCACATAAATATGTAAATAAACTTAAAGTCCCTGCTCGAAATATAAGCACAGCGCACATCGCATTCCACTTTACACGCATGTGTGCACATTACTAATTCATTTAAAAACCAAAAAACCAAGCTCTGAAAAGTGCTCGCGCAAGAAAATCGCAATACCTTAGCTATTTTTATTTAGCAAACCACGCATCAAAAGCGTGCATCGGCTTCGCGCTAAGGTTGTCATTTTCTAAAACTTTATACATGATGCAGCCTTACCTTCTTGTCCTTCAGCTACAAGAAAATTTGAGTTATTTCTACTATTTGAAATAGAATTTCTAGCGATTTTCGCAGCGAAATAGCTCGTTGGCTTCGCGCTTCGCGCGAAAAATGTCAACCGATGTAAGTTTGAACCGTTGAACCTGCCCGCATAAGCGAGTTAAGTCCGCTAAGGTTTGCCTTATTAACGAGATTTTTTAATCCAAGTCCAATTAAAAAGGCAAAATCAAATACAAAGCGCTTAACGTTATAAGAATATTTCACAAAAGGGTTTGCTGGCCCACCCGTGAAAAAAGTTCTAGACGCGCCACTGAAGAAAAATCAAAAAGCATGTTATAGCAATTAGCAGGAGATGTTCAAGTAGCGTGCCACATGGGGCTGGTATAAGTGACCGGTGACTAACATATGAAGCTGTATACTTAAATTGACTGAAATATGAAAAAAAATCGAAGTATTCGATAAGTCCCAGCTGTTAAATTTTTTCAGGGGATCTCGCTTCTTTGCTGAGGGAAGCCAAAGACAACCAAACTCTCTTAAACAGGCATATGATAGTTGCTCAGTTCGTGATTTGCATCGCGCGAGGACTGGACTTCCTGCACCGCAATGGGATAATTCACGGGGATCTCAAACCAGAGAACGTTCTTGTACAAATCGCGGAAGGTGGTTGGAAAAATCTGCTGATCGGTGACATGGACGATTTCGTGCAGATGCAAGAAAATAACACCTGTTCTGCCGACGTTTCGCATTTACGCGGCACGACACGCTATATGTCCCCAGAGATGCTGAAGAAATTTTGCAGAACAGCAAAGAGGCGCCCGGACGAAAAACCGACATTTGGAGTTTGGGCTGCATAATGCTGGAGATGGCCCAGTTAGCCAGCGGTCAGCTGGAAAAACGACTTGTAAAAGGTGCGAAGGTTATCGAAGCTGCAGATAACCTTCCGAATAACCAGTATGTCATCAGGATTGTCGATGGCTACGTGCCCTGTGTCAGCAACCGCAACGCGCAGTTCCAGGCCGGTCTTATCAAAAAATGTTTGGATCCAGTTGCTGTCAATAGGATATCCGCTGAACAACTGCTTCATGAGTTACAAGAAAAACAATTTATCGTATTTTATCCTTCCGCCTGGAAATTCGACCACCGGTTCTTGATATTGTTCGATCCTACAGTGGGATGTTTTACGGTTGAAAAGGTGGTTAACGCTCCAGCCGCTTTACGCCGCGGTGGGTTGTCAGCTCATCACCGTCAGATAAAGCCGATAGAAATCATCTTCACAGAGCGGTCACACGTTGACACGAACGGATTTTCCAAATTCCGTTTCTGGAATGTCGGCAGAAATACATGGCGCGAGCTAGCGCTTCCCTTAAACGTGGGTCTTGCCGAAGACTTCATCGTGGTCAACCACAAGATTTATATCTTGGGTTACAATCAGCGCTTTATGGAAATAGATACGTACACTGGCATGGCTACAGCCTTGGATGATTCCCCTGTGGAAGCCGGGTACGTCTACACTATACCAGATCTGCATAATTTGTTTCAAATTTAAGCGAGCTATTTTCCAGGTATGACGTAACTCTAAAGCGTAACTCGCTGCCTGAAAAAAATTGACTATCGTAACTCATATAAAAATTACATGTATTATCTATGGTAACGCCACTCTTTGGGGGTAGCACGTCAATATACTGGCCTTCGTTTTGCTGCCAGCCAATAAGCGATAGTCTGGTCACTCTGGTGCAGGTTTGCCCCGCTATTTCCCTTTATATGGCTTGCGCATCAAATGTTTCAGAGCCAGCACTGCCATAGACATATGGCAGTGCTGACTGGCGTCACCCTTTTACGCTTGTATTACGTTTTCTGGGGCTATTTTGGTTATTGTATGCACACTAGAATGTAGAGAATTAAATTCTCTACAGTCTGGGATCTCAAATGTTTCGGGAAGTTCAATCTGAGCATTCGAAAAGAGTTTTAAAGGAAAAGTCCAAATCCCCACTGTCAAGACTACATTGCGACCACCTTCGTTGGACAGTTTAGTGGTTAGTCTAGCACAAGACTGTTTCGTTCAGACGCTTTCTAAAACTTTCCCATAGAGTTTCACTGGACACCTTATACGAACTAAAATGTAGAGCATTAAATTCTCTACATTTTAGTTCTCTAGGCACTCATGGTCTTTTAGCAAATGCTTTATAAACAGCGAAAAACAGAATCGGGCCATGTAATCCCATGCTTTCAGTTTCATGACTCTGAAATACTGAGTGCACATGTGCAATTTAATGCCCGCGTGCACAAGGGTATTGTCCATTTGTTGACCGACATGTTCCAGACTGACACAACTTGCTGACCGACAGATTGCTGACCGACAATTCGCTTTTCTACACTTTTGGGTAATTGTGCAGAAGTGGGCCATAATAGAATATTAAGACGGGGGGAGTGGGGAATTGTTACGGGGCGAGAAAGCAGCCAAAATGACAGCGGCGCTGCGAGGCTGCGGCTGAGGCTGTGGGTCTGCGAGACTGCGGGACTGCGAGACTGCGGGACTGCGAGACTGCGGCGTTGCGGGACTGCGAGACTGCGGCGTTGCGGGACTGCGAGACTGCGGCGTTGCGGGACTGCGACGTTGCGGGTCTGCGGCGCTGCCGGACTGTACACTGCAGCGTTGCCAGGTTCTGGAAGCAGCACGACTGGGAAGATAGATGCGCGGACCTGATAAGATTCACGCCGTAGAACAGAATTAATTCTGTCTACAAAGAATTCTGGCAATTTGTTGAATACGTGTAGGTATGCCGTATGATTATTAATTATCAGTAACAAGAAACATGGCACTGAAATTGAAACCTTTTTTGAAGCTGATTGATGATTCGGATGAAAATGCGTTCAATTTTTGTATTGAGCATGGTTTGTTAAGGTCACAAATGGTGTGCCCGGATCATAATGAAGAAATATTGCATATTACAAGAAGAAACGATCGGCCATTATTTCCGTGGATATTCAGATGTGGTCAACCATCTTACAGACGGTTTTCTGCGAAATTTGAAACATTTTTTGAAGAATCGCATTTAGCGTTACATAAATCAATTCAGCTGATATATTTTTGGGCACATGAAATGTTCAATCAGCAGAAAATGTGTTTCCATTTGGATGTGAGCGGGCATACTGTAGTAGAGGCTCAGTTTAAGTTGCGAAGTATATGTGAAGCAAAAATGCTTAAAGTTCTTTCAGAATCGAAAATTGGAGGTATTGGTAAAACAGTTGAGATTGATGAATCAGCGTTATCTGTGAGAAAATATAATCGAGGTAGGCTGCTGTCCAACGAAAGGAAAAAGCAATGGGCATTTGGTGGAATTTGTCGAGAGACAAAGGACGCGTTCATCGTTTTCGTAAACGATCGAAGTGCTCAAACATTACTACCAATTCTTGCTGCTCATGTCGAAGTGGGTACAATGATAATGAGCGACTGTTGGAAAGCCTACTGTCGCATCGAAGATATGGGGTACGATCATTTTACCGTTAATCACTCGCAAAATTTTGTCGATCCCATAACAGGGGCATGCACGAATCGGGTGGAAAATTTGTGGCGTTGGCTCAAAGAATCGCTTCCTTCAACCGGAACAACAGAAAATATGAAAGAATCGTATGTGTACGAATTTTTGTGGCGTAAAAAGTTTGATGTCAATAATGACGCATTTGAAAACATAATCAAGCACATTCGAGAATATTATAATAATGATCTGCAAATAGAATGATTAAATGCTTAATAGCTCAGTCTGTATATATGTACGTGTATTTATCATCGGAGTTTGACCAGCGCGATACTGTAGCCAGAAATAAATGTTGTGTTGTTGCGGCATGGTGTTACGCTGCACTGGCGATGAAAGGCGCAGATTTGTTTCGAAATGTATAAATTTCAAATTTTTATGTTCGAAATAATAAAATGTGAAAACGAAATAAGACGCATAAGACGCATATGAAGACGCATATGAAATATCTTTTCCAGCATTTCCTTCTATTTAGCAAAATATACATTAAAGAATCGCCCGCAACACTTTCTCCTTTACATACGGGTATAAATTTCCTGAAACCATCGTTGCATCTACAGTCTGTAAAAACAATTATTAGTAATCAAAACCAAACTTACAATCAACAAATTTACAGATATGGGACAGGGAGCAGGGAAGTGTTTTCTTAGGAGCCAATTGTCGTAAAGATGGTTTAGCTGCTCAATATAAGTCTGCAAAATGTAATACTGTACTTAAGTACTTCATTTATGATCAACATTTCTGTTAATGTTCTTAGTAATATGACCTTTGTCACAGAAGCTTCTTCTTTTCGTCCTCGACGAGCAATTCGATTTTGCAACGTTTCAACGTCAACTCTCATGTAAATTATTAGGTTTACCGGATGATGCTGCAGTACATTTTCCTTGAATTGCTGGTTTAGCTGTTCGTGCTCCTGATTTGTAAGCATTTTACTGGAATCATGAACACACGTAAATCGGCATGCAGGATTTTGAGAGCCTTATTTTTTACTTGCAAGAAAATAAGCAAATAAGAAAACAAGAACTTGTGGTAGAGATTCTTGAGTTCTTGTGGTAGAGATTCAAATATTTTTTACTTGTGGTAGAGATTCTCCGCAAAAACATATCGAGCACTAAAAATTGATCGTTCAAAGACAACCACTTTTCCTGATTCTGGGCGTTGCCTCTGAGTCATCATGCTTTCCATGACCAAATTTTGAAAGTCGAAGCTGTACAGCTGAGGTTCCTTGTACATAAGTTCCTAAAAATCATCTAGTAATATAGAAAGTTGTATAAGCGCATAGTTAAGTGTGAAAATAACCAAAAGATTTTTATTGTCTTTCGTTGTCCACAGTTCGATCGGTTCCTCAAAAACCTTAAAAATTGACATTACGGGCGTTAGTTTTTTTTTAATTTTATTTCCAACAGTAGACTACCTGAATCCGGGAGTCTGTTTTCAAATACTGCAATAGATTAGATTTCCCACATCCAATGTTGCCTTCAATTATGACCTTTCACACAATACAAAATGCCATATTCTACGTTTCAGTAATAAGTAATACGGTGAGAGTAACGGACTTACTATTGGTGGAGACATTGCTGCAGCAGTGAATGCAATTATGGGATATCGGATATTTAGGATTCTCTTTCTACAGTATGTATTAGCATTTCGGTACCTGTTAGTGTTTCTATGACACTAATAATGTAGAGTTGAGTAATAACAAGTACGTTCCAATACAGCAACAATGCCATAAAGCGTTATGAATGCAAAACTGTTCCGTACAGTATAGCGCTATTTAATACTGAACGTAGCAGGCAGCACATTAATATTTTCTACGAAAATTTTAAACGCTTGGATGAATTCTGCACTACTGTAGTGCGCTTGATGTGAATTTCGTAATTGGTCTCGTAATCTGAAGTAGCAAAGTCTACATTTTTCTCCAGGACGCGAGGATTAATAATGCGAAGCTTATTTCCATCTTTAAAATATTCGGAAAATTCCATCAAAGTATCTTGAAACAGTACGCCACGTATCTTGGCGCTTTGGTCCGTGATATCGAAAGATAAAAATTCACCGGACTTTTGATCTTTGAACCACTTGGTGGGACCTTTGATGTTTGATACGATGCCATTAATTACACAACTGCGCAAGAAACTTAGCTGATTGCGAATTTAAAAATTAGTTTTGTCAGAATAAATTTTTACCTTGTGCATTCCGTATTCAATTCAATAATCATCATTTCTTTTGGTACTCGGAAGTTCTCTCTTTTGATACCAACTGGTTCCCATTGTTCGAGTTGTTTTTGAATTTGGTCAATTGGCGTTTCAAGTAGTTCAAGTTTTTGTATAAAGAGAAATTTCCTATAAGCGAATATTTTTACAATAAAGAGAAACGTCAGACATCAAAATTCAAACACGTTCTGCCACTGTTCATTACGATCCAAAGTTTTTTATAAAAATAACGGTTCAAAGTATTTTTAAAAATTTCAACTACATTTATAGAGTGTACTATGCTGAACCGCGTAAAGAAAAATGAACTTCATCCATTTATTGAGCTCGTACTTCGTACTGCATAAAACTACTGCATACTTGTACAGTCGTACTGCATAGAAATACTGCTGAATATTGGTACTGCTTCATACCGTACTTCGAATGCTGCCTTATATGGGCTCCCCTTATATTACTCTTACTTATCTGGGCCACCGAGCAATACGAGCAACCCTCTACAAGGGCGGTTACGTTATTACTAACACTTTCGCAGCTGTTATCAGTGTTTCGCAGCTGTTATCACTTTCGCAGCTGTTATCAGTGTAATTATTCTTACTCGGGAGATGTGTGGATTACGCTCACATTCATTAATTTCGCGACTCGGGGTAACGTTGTTTCTTCGATAAGCCCATTCCACATTTTGTCGATCTGCACATCTGTTACAGTAAAACAAGAGAATGCCATTAATTATAATAAACTAAGGGCTGTATTAAAAGAAGGCTATATTCTTCCGAATGTTTGAATACTGGCTGTTGAAGTACAGAGTACGATCTATAAGTGTAAGTGCACTAATCGTGCTATAAAAATTACTGGATGTTAAGTTGAATGCATCCTGTATGGTGAGCAGCCACGTTGCTTCAATTTTCCTTTTATGGCGTATTATCACAAGTACGGTTTCAAATGGTTCCCCGTTTATAATTTGCTAAATAATGATATAAGAATATATTCGATTAATTTAAACAATAATTAATATATCATTATAATAAATTAACAATAATTAATATCTGTTCAATTTAAAACAACATTAATTTTTTGGTAACTAAACCAAACAGTGCTTGGTTAACCTTGATGACAGGCAAATCAGCCGTCGGTAAAGCTGCATCTGTGCAAAGCTCACAGGGGTCATCATTGGGCAGGTTTATATCGTCCAGACAAATGTTCATTTTGTCATTTCCCTCTGTCTGTACTTAACAAAGTTAACTAAAAATTATCATATTTTAAATTCTTTTAATATTTATTCATGCAAAGTCGAAATTTATGTTTTACGCAGTTTTAGTTGTCAAGGTTACTGAGCATTACGTATTATCATATGTACAAGTAGCTTGATTAGCTGAGTACGTATTAAGTACGTAGGTATAACTGCTATACAGTCATAAAGTATTACACTACCTGAGAAGCCGAATGTAAACATTTAAGTATTTCGCAGTCTGCTGTGCAAATGTTGAAATTAGGAAATATTCCTTTGGCAGTAGACTTGCATATGTAATCAGTGCATCGAAATTGTATGAAGCAGCTTCCTTGAACGTGTAGGAAATAAATATTGTTTTTTAAGTGCTTCCTTTTTGCGATAAGACAGTAACGCTGTCCACGGGTAATACACAAAAGCACCCCCCTTTGCTTGGAAAACCGCAATGATTCTGCAGACAAAACATTGTACTGCAACTGCCATTTTATGAGAATCTCGATAAATTGCAGACATGTTGCGTTCTTTAAAATTCTTCCGTGACCGACTGAAGCACGCAGGTGATTTTCTGCACTGACGCTTGTTGTCTTTTTGACACGCTCGTTTCAACGGGCTCTCCGCATATTAACGAATTAACAAAAATTTGATCATCTCCCATATTTTTATAGCAATCTGATGTATACTGGTTAATAGCAAAGTGATTGGATGCTGCTTTCTTGTTGCACAAAAACATACGGAAATTTTGATTTTTACTGTACACAGAAAGGTCCACAGTACTTGCATAGCAGATTATGTTTGTTGACAGTTCGTCTACCATTTCCTTTGCAAATCTGGCATGCTGCCGATTTCCCACTGCCAAAACTCTTGGCCATATCAAATGGTAACTTTCTTTATGCTGCGTGCTTGCATCGAGAACGATAACGTTCCTTGTTCCTTTTTTTACCCACACGAATTCGATAATGCCTTTCAATAAATCCAACAATTTTTTATCGTGCACGCCGTCCGTTACCGATAATTCTATGTCCATATAGAATTTACAATAATGATCACACAGCACGATTTCGTAAAATGCTCGTTCTTCCAGTTTTCGTGCTTCAATTATAGAAAACATTTCATTTTGCGTGCAGACAAGAAACTTTCTGGATCCTTTTATACTTATTTGTTCAGCAAATACGTAAGTGTTTTCTTCAACATGACTTAAAGCGTCCAGCAGTTTAGAATACCACAACATCGTCTTGGCTGAAACAGATATTTTATTCAGTTTCAAAAGTAATTAACACTGTACATTTGCAGTACATGTATAATACAACTATAATTGGTGTTACTTGAGTTGGTTGCGGATTAGCTGCTGGGAGTTTATACCCAACATTAACGTTGCCGGGTGCACAACATGCATTGCAGCGGCCAGAAAAACGTTAAGCATTTAACATTAGCAAGTACTTACATTATTATAATATCATGATTAATAAGCAAGCACGTACAACCTACACTGTTACTACTACAGCGGTAGCGATAGCACTAATATTGTTACTGTACATGCACGGTTGTTATGCAAGATAGCGCACGGTTGTTTGCATTAGTGTTCGTTTTATTTTACATCTTTTGCAACCATTTGTACGTCGTCTACGCAAAAAATATGAATTCTTTAACAAAGGGCAAGTTGACCAGTGTTTCAAAACAGGAAGCTCAGTATGTTCAGGAAGTGTGCATAAAGAATTTTAGCCATCACGTTGAGGACTATGTCAGCGGGGATTTGTTGAACTGCATAATATACCATGCTCGAACAAACAGGACAAAAGAGATGGCCATTTATTGCTCTTTGCTCGCAACAACAGCAACACTTTCTGCAGAAAAAGTGATGCTCCAGATAACTGAAAACTACAAGAAACAGTGTCCAGCAATTAATCTGCTCATTGTCTGCAAGCCTGGTGGTGGAAAAAGCACTGCCCTTCAAGATTACTGCACGGATTTTTTGGATTTAATTTCCCAAAAAAAGAACAAGAAATTTTACGATAATCCGCATACGTTTGCAGGTAACTTACGTATATTTAATATAAATTTACAAATAATTTTTATTCATTATTTAACATAATTTCATACCTTAACCATACATTATAATATGTTATTCTATAACAAGTATTTTTATTTTTTATAGCATATTGAATAAAATATTTTTATTTTTACAGCATAATATTTCAAAAAAATTTTTTTTATTTTTATAGCATATCGGACATTCCTAACAGACACCAAGGGATTTGGTTCCGTCGTAGCTGATGAAATAGCAGGAACACTCGCCACACTGACATTATCAGAAGAAAATGCCGCAAGCCTCATGAACAAGGTCTGGGGTGGTCAAAGCCTTAATGTGTCTTACAAAAGCGCCGGATCTCTGAAGTTACCGCGATCATCTTCTGCATTTTTTGGAAGCCTTCATCCGCAACCATTTTGCAGTCTATTAAAATCTTGGCCAGCAGGAAATGGCCTGGAGGATAGACTGTTGGTCACGGCAGTTGACAATGTTGTCACTGATATACCTGAATGCCAAGAAGCTAAGCAATGCCTCCCTAAGCCAAAGGTTGATTTGAAAGAAATGTTTCAAAAATTACATGAATATTTGGAAAAACATCCTGGTCTGTTGCTTACTTATTCCCCAGAAGCCTTCAATTTCATTGGAAAAATATCTACTGATGTCAAACGAATGCGGATTTTGCACAACCAAAAAATTGCTAATGGCGAAGATTCTGCCGACAGGTCCGACTTTATTTCGAAACTGGAAGACAACATACAGAAGCTTTCGATGGATCAGCATATTTTGGATTCCTCATACCACAGTATGCTCACAGTCAAATCGATCAATATCCCGAATATTATAGCTCTGGAAACAGTGGAAAAAGCATTTAAATTTGCGGATATCAGCGGCGATGCGTTCAATGAGTATGAAAACATCCGACCCGCTACATCTTCCAAAGCGTCAAACTTCTCGCTTGGTCTTGTACCCGGGCAGTTTGTAACATGCCGCATCTATAACGATACATTTGGATCCCGGAAAGCGTTTGTGCGGTTAACAGAGGCAGAATTCTCTGATGCAGCCCAACAAATGCACGAAATTGGTATTGGAACTATGAAACCGTTTCTGATGTCCAGCGGAAAGGAAGCAAATGTGTTGTACAAGTGTCCCCCAAATAAAGTTGATAAGCAGTCTGTTAACACTTTCGGCCTTATGTTTACAGCGTATGAATCTGCTTATAATGCAGATTTTGCATTGCCTCCATCAAAAAGGCGGGAATTAAACGAAACAATTGAAGAACTGAAGCGTCAAAACCCTTACAACCACCCTACTGCACCTCAACCACATGGCACAAAACGGATAGTCCCCGACGACGAAGGTTATCCACCTGGGCTAAATATTTATTAGAAAACAATTGTTGATGCATTTTCTTACGGGTTGTCTTAACGCGGAAAACATTTATCTATCTATGAAAATGTCTAGCTATAAGAACTCTGAAATAAAATAAAACTAGCAGCACCCTAAAATGGCCGGTATTATGGTAATATAAAAGGTCAATATATAAAAGTCAATATATAAAAGGTCACCAGACAGTCGTCATAATATAATATTAGTATGCTATTAATTTTATATGTCGCAGCCTGCCGCAGTTTCGCAGTCTGCCGCAGTGTTGCAGCCTGCCGCAGTGTCGCAAGCTGCGCATTAGATATTCCAGGGTCCTCCCCCCCACAATACAAAATAAACATGTATCCATGCAACTCTGGCCCACTTCTGCATTATTGCCCACTTTTGTTGTCCGACTTTTTGCGGGAAGTATTTTGTTGACCGGCAGCTTGCTTTTCGGTCACGTTCCGAGGTTTCTTAGTTTCTGAGTGCTTTAATTGGGTTTCTTAGATTTCTTAGCGTTTTATTACGTCCAAATACGCGTTTTCGTAGTTTTTCTTAGGTTTTCTTTGGCTTACGTAGGTTTTTTTAAGTTTTCTTAGGTTTTGTTAGATTTAGGTTTCCTAAAGTTTACTTAGGTCATTTATAGGTTTTCTTTGGGTTTCCTAGAATTCTTGAATTTTTGTGGGCTGCGAAAAAAGTTGTTTTGTTGGTCAGCAATGTGTCATCAGCAAAGTGTCGGTGTTCAGCAAAAGGTCGTTCAGCAAGTTGTCTGTCAGGAATACAGCAGTCAGCAAATTGTCGGTGTGCTGTGTTTTTGACCGAAATCACGACAATGGGCGATTCTAGAACGATTTGTGTTGACAGGATGGAATTGTTATTATCTCAAGTGGCAAAAAGTGACGATCAGATATATTTTGCCACACGATATCGCCTGTACCGGTACAATATAATTATTGGTAAATGGGAAGCTTTACAAAATCTGCCACAGTGGCGAGCGGCCTTTGCAATGGCGGTGGTCAACGGCTACCTGTACATTATCGGCGGATATGTGCTATCGGCCTATGATAGTGCATCGTCTGACTGTATCCGTCTGAACCTGAACACTGGTACATGGGAAGAGATAGAACCACTGGGACAGCCCAGATGTCGACATGCTGTACATGTTATTAATGACCGGATATATGTCTGTGGAGGGAACCACTCTGAAGCAGAGCCCGCTCAGACAATAGAGATGTACAACACCAAACACGGTGGAGGATGGTCGACCATCAATTTCCTGCAAAAGAACGTAAATCTGTTGTCGGACTTGGCGTCAACGGTCATTCGACCTTGGCAGTTCATAACTGCCACGTCGACTTGTCTGAATGCTTCAGAGAGCATTAACTGAATGCGAATCGCTTTCCCGTGGAACCAATTCACGGGCCCAGTGGTCGATTGATGGTCCCTGAAACGTCTTGGGTGCGAGCCCGGAGCCAAGCTAGCCGCTTGTTGTACAATACTTTGAGTCCATGATGGATGGTCAGAGAGTATATAGAGTGTCATCCCGAATGAGTTTCAAGTTCCTACATGTCTTTCTGAAATTTGCCCTTCTGTGCTGTTCATTGTTTGTGATACACCTACGACTTCATAGTTGCTACCCTCGAGCTTTTCTACTGGCATCCTGCCGACTACCTATTTGCGGACCGGCAAAATTGTGTCGGAAAAAGTGTTGATCGATAAAACAGCTTCCCAAAGTACATACGTTACCTTAAAGAAAACCTTAAAAAGAAAAACTTAAAAAGAGAAACCTTAAAAAAAGTAGGAAAGAAAACCGTAAAAAAATGTAAGAAAAACACTAAGAAATGCAAGAACTGGATCGACAAGCGAACCATGCCAATCAACGAAATACAGTAAGTCGATGATTTCGTAAAAAAGCCAATTGTCCGTCATCAATTTGTCGGCCAGCAATAGCGGGAATCAGTAATCGTCGTTTCGCGGTCAACAAATCGTGGAGCGTGAAATAGAGGTTGGTGTGAATTGACTTGGAAGCTTGCACTGCATCTTGCATGTGGAGCGAGTTTTTGCGGATTTGTCAGAGTGTACTCGGCAAATATTTGCTTACAAGCATCTGTATTCTATTACCGGACAGTCAACTTTGTACCATTCTCTAAGTTACGTATACCTGTATACCTACCTGTAATAGCCATTTTCCGGACCACACTAACATTTTTTCCACAAATTTTTATTTTAATTTTTATGACTTAATTTATCATCCTTCCTTTAGATGTGATATTATTTTAGCGGTAAATTTTTATTGAGAAAATTAAGTACTGGTAACAAAAGTTTCATGAGTGCAAAAATGCAGTGTTTTGGTGAATGTTCGCTGACAATTACGGTAAGCGTCAGTTTGCCGAATGGCGTTGTACGTAAAACAGGAGAAGCTGTGCTCCGGTATCATCGGTTCATTCTCCTAGTTTAAAAACACTCATAACTAATAACCAACTTGAGTACTCGTATTATTTTTGAATCTTTCACATTCAGACGATTCCGCGCTACTGTAATGTTGTACGATACATATGTACATGATAGAGCTGTAACATGCTACTGTTTACGTTCGGCATACGGCATCGCTGCATCGATCAGTAGGTAGCATAGTGCGTACTACCTACTCGTATTATATCGATCGATTTCCATCCAGCTCACCCGGTGCCGTAGATCTGTCGGCATGTGGCAGTTCGAGCTAAGCGTAAAAATGCCTCCAGCATCCTGCACTGTAGCAGCTCGCTGTAAACTGCGCACATACAAATATTAAACATTGTACTGAGACAGTTTCCGTGGAGCTCTATGTACTTCGTCGTTCAAGGCAGCATTTGGCACAGTGTTTTAAGATTTGTGTGTGAATTTCATTTTTCTGTTACATTTCTAGGATGGCTTGAACATTTTTGCCAAGTACAGGTATTAAGACATGCAATGGTCGAAGTAATCTGGAGCGAAAGCCACAAGTCCGATGCCAGAATAAAATGATTTTGTAAGGCAAATGGCGCGAGCCCCGGTCTTTGACATTCGTTTAATGCGGACACATTAAACGAATACTTGTATATGCTTCGTTTTTTAGAGAGCTTAATGCAATAACGTTAGCGTCATGGATGATACGGAAGAAAACGGAGAAGAGCGGCCATCAAAGCGGAGACATTCCGTGTACAGTAAGACTACAGTTCTCAAACTGCAATCGTGCAATCTGTTTATATCTGGCAGCTGATTTAGTGGAATCCACGCAGCCTACTAGTTGATTAATTCTCGTGCGTCCAATCGGCAATTTTTTGCAGCTGATGATCCGCCATCAGCACAGGAACCATCCATCTCATCCCGACAGGCAAAACACCTAAAAGTGCAGTCTCTGCTGCGTGGACATTTTAACGAAGATTTCCAGCCGACCCGGGCAACGTTCCCGCTCGGTTTCCGTAAAGTTGTCCCTCCTTGTGGTCAGCATCCATGGCATATGCTTCATGCTGCCATGTTTGGAGTTGACAAACAAAATTTTTAACAGATCTTGAGGGCTTCTTGAGTGTCACCGCGACATTTCGCCCGGTTGTGCCGCCGAATTCGTACTTCAGTATGTACGCCGATGTGAGCGATTCCCGCGATGTGATGCTGCAGAAAGCCGGTGGCGCGGTGTGTGCGGCGTACGAGATCGCCTACGGAGACCAGATTGCCGTGTATTCCGCGTTCATGGCGTCCGCCCTCGCAGCTCAGCAAATACCGGTAAGATTTCTGCATATGACAGTCGGCAAGTTAGAAAATTTTGAAAATTACCATTTTTCTCTAGATTCGAGAGGGTTTACTCTTTACTTAGCTTAGCGTTTAAAAAAAACATTTCAGCAAAATTTGGCAGCTCGGAATTCTGAACGTAGTCAAAGGGTATTAGGCGCGAATATTTTCTTCTTCTTTTTGAATATAAAAATCTCCTTTTTGACCAGGGAGTTTTCCTTCTTTGGAACTGATTTATTCGCATTTTCCCTCCCTAAAAATTTCGTACTTATTTTTACTCAAAAGATTATTTTTTTACTAACTTTGTGTTTGTTTTTACCGTGACGCTTGAAGGTGCTTACTCGTAGCAAACGCTGCCGGTCGACGTTCGGCACAAAATCATTTATGGCTTCTATTTTACAGTATCAACCGCAGACGTCGCTAAAGCGCTTTCTGGTGGGAATGCACAAGAAACGTCAAAATGACAAAACCCGCCTGGCACAGTTTGTCGCCATGCTGCCTGGTTTTGAGGACATCAGCCCGGCAGATCGCAATATTTTGCTGGCGGAGAAATCGTTTGTTACTAATTTGGTACGGACGGTTTCTATAATGTTCACATTAATTGTGTTTGCCTATCCTATTTACTGTTTGCTGTTCGTAGCTCAACTATATAAAATATTGTCACAAAGGAGATTATTATTACCCCTTACCGGGCCCCGAGCAGATTCACGCCAGCAACTACTGGATGGAGATTATGGGATTGGATCCCGAATACATTCGGTTCTGTTACAAATTCAGTTCTATGTTCAACAGAATCGGGTTGACGCTAACGGAATCCTATCTACTGTTGGCCGCAGCGTTTTTTGATCCAGGTATAGATTGATTTACTCCGAGCAATTTGTTGCGGGGTTTAGAGAATTGTTCAGTGCTAGAGCCCTGCAACGGACTGGTAAATCCGAACCGCTCCGAATCCACTCCGATTTTCGGAGCGGATTGGACGGATTTGTTTTAAAAAAATTCGGATCGGAGTGGTTTCGGAGTTTAGGCTTGCCTGAATGGATCGGATTCGGATGTAATTATGACTCCGAATTATCCGAAATAAAATTATATTTTCAACTGATTTTTATAGAATTTCCATAATTTTTTGGACAAAAAGCATCGCCAGCTTCGCGCTCCGCGCGAGGCTTCTGTGTGATTCGGTAAAGCACTAAACGTAGCTACTTCTATTACTTACGTTAACTTCAGTTACTTACTCCGTGCCCTTTGTTAGAAGCGAAGCTTGTTCAATAAAAAAAAATCCGAATTACAACTTTTATGAGTTCTTTTGTTGAGAACTAAAAGAGATGCCACTAACACGTGAAAGCACCAGCCAGAAACTGTGGTTTTTGCGATGGCAAAAAGATCAAAATTTTCGGAATTCGCAACTCGAAAAACGCTCAGGTATGAGCAATCTATGGCTAAGACGACGCAAAATTTAAACGGAGATTGCATAAAAATCAAATAAACGTTCCGAAGATTTTGAAAATTGAGAATTTCGATGATAACCTGGCGTGCGCTATCTTTAATTGTTGCAGCGGATAGTATAGGTATTATAGATTTTTCTGGAATGAAATAAAAAATAAATATGACAAAAATTTTCGGAGCGGATCGGACTGGATTCGGATTTGTAAAAAACATTTACGGATCGGAGTGGTCGGAGTATGATTTTGAAAATTCGGAGTCGGACTGGGTTCGGAGAAAAATTTATCAGTTCGGATCGGACTGGACGAAGTTTTCGACTCCGTTGCAGGGCACTATTGTTCACTTGCGCCAGTGTATGAAAACACATTTGTCCTTCGGCGTTTTTGATAATGTTGCCGGTTTTCCTCCAGACACGACCACCGCCTCGGATAAAGCGTTACTCAAGCACCTAAATGCGTTTTATTTGGACGCGCTGATGTACATGATCGGGTATCGGTGCCGGCACCCGTGGGAGCGCGCTGCTGTGTACCATAAATTTGAGGAAGCGGTTAAAATGTTCCACAGTCTACCAGCTGTACCTTCAATGGTATAAAACAGCCGAAGTCCAGGCTCTCCCTCCGTTTTCTCCGGCATTACGGACGCTGGTTCAAGACTGCTTGAAACGCTAATGTAAAGCAGTTTTGGAAATTAATTTTGGTTCAGTGTAAAGATTTTGTAAAATAAAAAGTTGTTTCTTGCACACAGCTGTATCCTTTTACACAATGGCTCACCCTGTTAAATAATGATATTTTTTATAAATTTTATTTGAACAATACTTTCCGGATAACATTTCAACCGTGTTAGTACTTACCATAAGTAATAAAACTGTTAGCTACGATGTATTGGCTTCTAAACCACAGCGCTTTGCTGTATTTTCACTTCATCATTATTATTATTATTAATTATTATTGTTATTACGGCACAAGAGCAGACAACCCCAAGGGGAATTTAAGTCTGGTCGAACAAAAACAATTTTAAATGCCAGTAAAGAGTTAAGACGGATCCGCAGATTGGAGTAGAAATTTAAAGGCAGGTACAGAACTGGCAACGAGAATTTCGAGTTAACAGCAAGCAATTTACCAAGAAGGCGCAATAAAATTCTTGCTATTACCTGTAAAATCCTCGATGCCAGTTCTGTACCTGCCTGTTAATTACACTGTTGAATGCGGTTGCGCGCTAATAAATTTTCCCGGTAGATAGATGTAACCGGCAAGTAACCATTCACATACCGATACAATGTAGGATACCGATTTAGGTACTAAATTAACCGATAAGTAGTGTGCGTGCTCTGTATATCGATCGCTTTCCATCAAGTCGAAACATCCGGCGTACCCGATACTTTTAGCTTTCTCGCCGCTTGAGAAATGCCTCCAGCGTGTTGCACTGTACACGCTCGCTGAAAATATTGTAGACTGATAAAATGTAAACACCTGCCGTGCAGCTGCTCATAATATACGAGGACGAGCTTAGTACATGTGATAGACAAAAAAACTAGCGAGAGAATCTGATAACCATTTGCGTGCTGTGCAACACTGTCAGCCACCTTAGGCTGGCGGTAGCCGCGCGCCGTCACACAGCCGTCAGCTGAACACGGCCTGCTATTTTCTGTAACGCACACTCGTATTAAAATTTAAATGCGAGTTTTGTTTTGGTTTTATAACATTGTTTATAATTGGTTCTCCGCAAAATTTCCAGTAACCAGTGACTTACATTAATTAACCAAGCTCTTGATAATAATGTTATAAAATTACCATCTAAATATAAAGATTCATCTGGCGAGATGCACTACGATGAGAATATCACCGACGTACGGCTACCTGCCAGTTTGTTTTCTGCACCTGCGATGGAGATTTCTTGCGCGAGTATCAGCGTTATTTCGGGCCTACCGTTGAGTGAGAATTGTGTGGAGGAACCTGCCAGCGACGTGCCTTTACCAGCAGCGTACGATGATTTTATGGCCTTGGCGCTGAAGGCTTGTAGAACGGGGAACCTGACAGATAGAAGAGATTGTGGCGTTCACAATCTCTAAAGCAGGTTTTCTTCCATCGGTTGCAGCAGACAAAGTGGCTGCAGATTGGCACCATAATTTCATGAGCGCTCATCCTCAGAGAAAGAGAAAACTTCAAGATTCTCGTCTGCGCGCCAAAGCAGGGACGGACAGTAAAGTAACGGACAGTAAAGTAATCGCAGAGCTCGAGCAACGGGAAGCAGAAAAACTGCTGCAGAAAAATAAGCGAAAAAGAAACACTCGTAGCGGACTTAGCGATGTGACAAATACTCCGACTTAAATTAAAAAATCTTTCAGAATTGGTAAAAAGTGAGTCCTCTGAAATTTCACATGTGGTTCTACAAAGTCAAAGTGTTACTGTAAGAAATAAAGTGTGCGGTATTACTGGGGTGATTATTTGTATTAAATGTGATGTGTTTACCAGCACTGACAAACCTGGGTGGTTGCCCGTGTTGCACTGGCCGGGCATGGTTATCAGATTCTCTCGCTAGTTGTTTTGTCTATCACATATACTAAGCTCGTCCTCGTAGTCATTGCAGTCAGTCTTTAACGCTGTATTTTAGATTAATCGTAAATTATGGATGTCTTCCGTTTTTCGACATTTTCTGCCCATTTTTAGAAAATTTGACGTACTTTTGTGGAGTAGGGAGACCTACAATGATCAGATTAATGCGGAAAGAACGTCAACGGACCGTTACCGGAATATTAAAATGGTTTTGTAAAGCGAATAGCTACAGGGGACCAGTTGCGCATATTGCATCCTTTGCAAATCCCGCTTGTACTTCATAAAATCTGCTTATTATCGCTGTATGCCATTCTAGTGCCATCGTAATGTTTATTTGGTCCCCTTCATTTAAAATGCGTTAACTACGTTTAAATGAGTTAACTACGTTAACTACAAAGTTGGATTTTGAAGAGGCTAAACGCAGTTATATTCTTGCGATGGAGGATTCGGAAGCACACGGCGCGAGAAAGCGATCCAAGCCGATTAATTCCCTTGAGAGAAGTATGACCGACATTCCAGACATTTTCACACAATGGATCCGCGTACCGGACACCAAGGACGCCGTATTCTTCGGGTCGTTCCACATTAGACAACTTGATAATGTTTTATTGCTCGTAATTTCGTGTACAATACAAGCTTGTATAAAAACTACAATTATCGCAATTAATGATGGTAAGTTTTGAAAAGTTTCTGGCTGGCGGAACAACGCAAAAAATAACGCGTCTCTGGTGTCCCTTGTCCGGTATGTGATTGTAGACTGTGAAAATGTCGGGAATGCGTAAATCGTCCAAGTACAGACTCTCGCCCAGATCGGTATTGTTATAATTTTGGCAAATTATTAAGTAACGTTTTTTTAGAACTCGCCGCTTGACTGATTTATGTAGTTTATAATATTAAAATTGGCAGTTTCCGCGGTGGACCCATCATCAGCACAGCCAGCACAGATCTCATCCGTACTGGATCCAAACGAAGCGAAAACCCTGCTGAGGGGACATTTTAATGAGGATTTTCAGCCGACGCAGACGACCTTTCCGTCTGGTTTCCGTAAACCTGTCCGTTCCTGCGGTGAGGCACTTGACGTGCGTTTCGCGCTACCCCTGCTGGGGCTGATGATCAGTATTCTCAGCAGATCTTATGGGATTCATGGGTGTCGCAGCGACATTTCGTCCAATGTTGCCGGCGGATTCGCATTTTAATCAGTACGCCCATGTCAGCAGTTCCCGCGATGTGATGCTGCAGAAAGCCGGTGGTGCGGTATGTGCGGCGTACGAGATAGCCTACGGAGATCAGATTGCCGTGTTCTCCGCCTTCATGACGTCCGCCCTCGAGGCCCAGCAAATTCCGGTACGATCATTGCACTCGGCAGTCGCCAAGGCAAAAAATACAGCTGTAAATCCTGTAATAAGCGATTGCTTTATTCCGGTGTTTCGGAGGCCCTTTTCTCCGAAAATGGGACTGCTGTTTGCACACTTATGTTAAATGACTAAAATAATGTGACGCTGAAGGGAAGTGACCCGGTAAAAGTTAATAAATGTGAGAACCTTCTATAACTCAATTAAAGAAAACAGTGTTCGCTTGCTACGGACTGAATAAACTGATGTTTTTCACTCATTGCGGTTATTCACTGTACAGCATCAGCCACAGACATCACTGGAGCGTGTACTGGTGCGTACCCGCGAAAAACGTCAAGATGATAAAGTCCGTCTGGCGCAGTTTGTCGCCATGCTGCCTGGCTTTGAGGACATCAGCCCCGCTGATCGCGATATTTTACTGGTGGAAAAGAGGTTTATCACTAATTTGGTACGTTCTATTTGACGGTGTTTGTTTTTCTGTCTATTAATTTTACTGGTGCTGTTCTTTAGCTGCATTATATGAAATACTGTCACAAAGGCGACTATTACTACCCATTGCCGGGTCCGGAACAGATTCACGCCAACAACTACTGGATGGAGATTATGGGGTTGGATCCCGAATTCCTCCGGTTCATTTATCAGTTCAGTGCGGTCTTCAACAAGATCGGGCTGACGCTGACGGAATCTTACCTTCTGTTGGCCGTAGCGTTCTTTGATCCAGGTTCGTATAGTATCGATTCTAACGAGGTCAGTATAATTGGTTTGAGGGGCACTGGATTGTAATCCTCTTAGCACTTTTAATTTACCGCAGAAAATCCTGGGTTAGGAACTACATAAAATACTGTAAATGAGAAATTTATGTAGACTAACACGAAAAATTAAGTAGAATCACGAGATCGTGCCGGGACGTAAAAGTGTGGTAATAGGCTTTCCTAAGGTATTACGTTGAGAGACGTGCAGACAGGGGTGAACAGTTCCCTTTCAGCCATCAGTAAATCTAAAAATAAAATTCTAAATCTAAAATTCTAAAATTTTTAAATTCAGTTAAAAAATGCAGGTTTCTCACTCCTGCTGATGGGTGGCTTACGGTGACATGGACTTGTGAGTAAATGAATTTTTTAGCTACCTAGGTAGCGCATCCTACTTAGATTCGCCGCGTAATGTGGTGCATAAAATCGAATTGCAATGCTGCCGGGTGTTTTAGGCACGACCACTGCGTCGGAAAAAACGTTGCTGAAGAATCTGCACATGTTTTATGCGGAGGCGCTGACGTACACGATCGGCTATCGTTGTCGGAGCGCGACGGAACGCGCTGCTGTGTACCAGAAGCTGAATGAAGCCGCCAAACTGTTTCCCGCTGCGTACCAACTCTACCTTGAATGGTATAATAAAGCCGAGGCTCAGATGCCACCGCCGTTTCCTTCTGCATTGAGGACGCTGGTTCACGACTGCTTGAAACGCTGATTCCCTGTAACCGTCCTCGTACGGATCCGTATGAAGTGTATTTCATGATTGTAAATCTGTAATTAAAACTGCTGTATCAGAGTAAATTATTTTGTATCATATTTTATACAGAATTTAGAATTTTACACAGAATTTTTATTTATACAGAATTTTATTTATTGATGAATTGTTGTCTCAGCGGATGCCCGTGTCCTGACTCCTGACTACATGTTCTGACGGGCGTCCCTAAACCTGACTTCGGCTTTGGGTCTTCTTTTTTTTTGGTACGTAGGTAATTAAATTAAGCCGGTGATCTGGCCACACATTGATCTGCGTTTTTTGCTCCACATTACTACCTGTACTGCATATTACGTTACAGTTTCTGGGAACGGTTGTTTTCTACTTTTTTACTGTATAAACTGCGGCTTTTTACTGACCGTGTTCAGCAAAGAAACTGAAACTGCACAGTGCACACGTTGCACATATTTCTGAAATCCGCCAGAAAAACTGTAGATATTGAATTTCTCAATAATGCTTAGGGAAGGGAAATGAAGCAAACTTGTCTCTGCAAGAGCAATATCAAAGTTACATTTTCCCGCTAAGCTGAAATTTTGTGTTGGCGTCTGTCGTGCCGCAAAAATTGTAACAAATACAGAGTGTATATGTATGCTTAAAACGTTTCACATGAATAACCTGCGTTTGTTGAAGTCGTAATGGTGCCGACTGTACAGCTTACCATAGCAACAAGTTTTTCCTTTTAACAAAAAATTTTATTTTTTTAATATAGAGCTGAAAGGATTCAAATACATCTCGGTTGTGAAAGAAATATCATGAGATTCTTAATTCTGCGAGCTAGGAGCTTGATAATTTCTTACACAAGTGCAATTAAGCTATATAAAGAGACCGCCATTTTTTTAGCCTTGTACATTCCTGGCTTACATTTCACGCAACACGTAATAAGATCGAAAGAAACAACCAAAATCATGTTGAAAAAACAGCTAAAATCCGTGTAATTTTGGTGTAGCTAAAGCCAAACAACTACTTGGAAGAAAATTTTGGTAAATGTGGAACAGTTTTAATCGCTAGGGCCTTGTGCGCTGACGTTAAGCTGTGGGAGCGCAATTGACCTTTCCCATTGTTCCACTCCACCGCTTTGCACCAGCTGATATTGTCATCATTCGTCCAATTCGGCTTTGTGGTGTTTTTGGCTGTCTTCGTCAAACAGATCCAAGGCCTTTCAAAAAAATCGATACTGGTCAAAGGTGGGAGAAAAGAAATGCCATTTCAATAAGGTATATTATTGTCATATGCAATGTACAATAGTTAAGTTGCACCAAGAATTAGCAGACAGCTATAACACTCGGTATTAGAATTAGATACCCGGCACAGGTAAGCTCAGATTTTATTGATTTTTTCCCGCCAAGCGAGCATTCAACATACCCGATGCGGTCGTTCCGTCAGCGTTGGATGATTAGATTATTATCGCCCCACAGGCCCGGTAGACGGTAGCGATATACGGTCGATGCCGACCGCACCGGAAGCGCACCGGCTAACATCCTGTGTGATCGCAGCCGGGATAACACGGTGTACGGTGAACGACTGTGCAGTGTATGCATTGATTAATCCATTTTTATGTTTAGAAAAAACGAAACCAGTTTTCAACATTAGCGTTTTATTTTACGAAATTTCCGATAGCTATCTGTAGAATGCGGTGGTTTATAATTGCGAATCTACTGAGAACTGGTAGAATAGATAAAAAACGATTTACGGCCTTGAGACTGCTGAAGAAAAGACAGGATGCGGCTCGATATCGTGAAACTCAGGAAGTGTGGGCTGAGCAGCCATTTGACCTTGATCGATTTTCTGATGTTGACTGCTGGAGAATGTTTCGAGTTTGAAAAGATGATATCGATAGACTGCGAGTTGCCCTGTGTATTCCGGAATCAGTTCGAACTTCGGAACGGGATAGGTGTACGGGAACGGAAGCGCTCTGTATCGTATTACGACGAATGTCGTACCCAAATCGATGGTGTGATCTGCGAGCCATCTTTGGCCGATCTCATGGTTCTTTGAGGAGGATTTTTTATCACACTCTGGAAACAATGGACGCACACTGGTCGCATTTACTTCGTGAGCTTGAGCAGCGCTGGTTAACGGAAGGAGACTTCGACGAATTTTCGCGCGTCATCACAGCGAAGGGTGGTGTTTATCCTGGTGTGATTGGATTTATAGATGGAACTGCACGAAAAATATGTCGGCCTAAAAGATATCAGCGGATTATGTACAGCGGTCACAAAAGATTTCACTGCACCAAGTGGCAGCCTGTTCTCTTTCCAAACGGTAAACTAAAATTAGCATTTGCGCTATATTTTGTTACGCACGGGTGCATTGCGTAGTGAATCTCTGAGCTGTAAAATCTTCTGCTAAATTGGGAATTTATTCACTGATGTTATGATATCTTGTGCCTTTTGTAGGAGCGATTGGTAACCTATATGGTGGTAAAGAAGAATCGATGCGCTACAGCAGACTCTTTGCAGAAAGTAATTTCTTACAGCAGTTCAGAGACAAGCAGGCTAATTTTCAGCAGAAATATTACATCTACGGAGATTCTAATTACGGCCGGAAGGATCTGTTAATTAAGCCATTTTCCCAAGTAGAGGCAGCCAGTAATCCCCTGAAAGAAGCTCTCAACGAGACCATGTCAACAGTAAGGGAATCTGTTGAGTGAGCCTTCAAGGAAGTCGTCAAAGAATTTGCTTTTGTTGATTTTAAAAAGCAGATGAAGATATTTGAGAACCCTGTTAAAAAGATGTTCAGAATCGCTGTGCTACTGACAAACTGCAGAAACTGTTTGTATCCAAATCAGGCTAGCCAGTATTTTAATTTAGAACCGCCATTTCTTGGAAAGTATTTGCGAGATTAAAAAAGTCTAAAAGCCATAATATTTTTCCTGATTTTTTTTCTTAATTTTTTTCAATTCGAACTGAAGACGTAATTTTTCCACTTCCGGTTCCTTTAAGCGCACTTCCTTAGCGTCTTCTACCAATTTAATTTTTGCGGCCATTTCTTCTGCGGCTTTTGATTTTTCAAACTCCAGGCGCTTATTGTCTGACTCCTTAAAGTAGTCCAGCCACTTCTCTTCAGCGTCAACGTTCTGGACTTTTGCCGCATTTGAGCGTGACGTGCGGAGCTTTTTCTCCAGCGCTTTTTTGGGAGATCCAACAAACTTAAATTTTCGCGGTGAAATTTTCATTCGCTTTGCCGAATGTTTTTGGACCTCTCGAGACTTCAGTTCTTCGACCCAATCCTGCTCGTCACAGCCCGTCTCCTTCATCCATTCCTCCTTATTTAAATCTCGCGAGGAAGCCGGTGCTATTAAAATTTGCAAAAAAAACTAATTTATTAATGACAAAAATGTAAATAAGTCTCACTTTAAAATAACTCTAATTTTAAACATTTGGAGTGCATTATTTTGAACAGCTGCAGCACATGTGTTATGCAGAAATAAAATATGATTGTTGTGCTTCGCCTGAACTAATAAAATGCAATTTAATAATCGATTTATTAAGACAAAATTTTTTTCTTATTTTAATTCTCAGTCAACGTTTGTATGATGTTTTACACGTAGAAGTTGCCAAACTCAGGTGGTCTTCCTCGTCGTTCGGAATTTTGCGGCCGTGTTCGCCAGCAGCCTTCATAATTTTGGAGATTTCTTGGCGTTCTTTCTGTGCCTGAGAAGCTGCGCGTTTCTTTTTCGCCTCCGCATCCTCAGATCCCTTCATAAGTTCACATATCTCGGTGAGGAGCATTTCTATGCGTCCATATTGCTCCTCGGTACCACTGCGGCTTTTGTTTCGCAGATCTTCTGCCTTGAACCAGGCGACCAAATTCGCTAGCCGATCCTTCGCAGCTCTTTCCGTCACAGGTTTCACAAAAATCTAAGAAATGCAGTTCTGGATGTGTAATCCCAAAAGCACGGAAATTACCTGCGCTTTTTAAAAATACATCATTCTTGGTAACAACGCTTGATTTTTACCTTAGTGTCATCCAGAGCTCTTACGATATCTTTCCAAGCAGCACCTTTATTATCCGCGACGTAGGGATTGTAATGCTTGACGAGGTCCAGGAGAACGAGATCAGAAGTGGCGTTAAATCGACATTTTAGCTTTCGAACATTAGGAATATCAAGGCCTGCTTCAGACGTTGGTGGTGTCGGAGCCTCCATCTCCAGTAACGAAAAGAACGTGACTACACTTACAGTACACTACACTACACTTCAAAAAACCTCACAAATCTCCTAAAGAGATCAAAAACCCTTATTTTTTAATTTCTCTTTTTCTTGCTGGGTGCTGTTTCGTTATCAGCAAAAATCATAAAGAGATACGAGCAACCAATCAGAATTCTGGAAATTCATTCGATCGAGCAGAACTGAGATCCAAGTACATGCCACAGGTGGCGGTTGCTACTTCGCAGAAGGCAACGGTACGACCACAGCAGAATAACGATAGGATCATTACTTACCGTCACACTTATCGTATGATGGTCCGGTAAGGGTACTCCGCTGTGACGTTTATGAGCCTACCGTATATCGCATCGTATATCGTAGGCCTTTTTTAACGAGCGGTAATAATCTATTGAGATGGAGATGAAAAACGCCTCCAACGGGGCTTTGTGCTGCACGAATCAGCATGATCATTTAACAGAGACAAACATTTGCCCGAGTAGTTTTATCCAAGACATAGTGATTTGTAAAAGGATCAGCGCTTTCTAATTTTTCACCGGTAAATCTTCTGCGTATTTTAAAGAAATCTTATTGCGTTCTTCATATCGAGTATCCAGGCAGGCAGTGCGCAGAACCAGGGAAACTGGCAAAAGCTTCATGCCAGAATCAAACAACTTCCGCAGATGAGTTCACAGTTTCGAAAACACAGAGGTTTTAATTATTGATAAAGTACTGTACTGCAATATATACTATCGTTATGGAGAATTCGGAAGCGGACGATGAAGAAGAAGGAATCAATCGGAATCCTTCAGGGGATATGGGTGTGTATATACGCTCAGGTTTATTTCCTTATGTTTCTTGCGTTTTTTATCTTTTCTTATGTTTGCTCCTGTTGTCTGACCTCATACGTTTTCTTCTTATGTTTTATTCTAGTGTTTTCTTTTCTTTCCTATGCCAGAGGGGTAAGGTGTGTTTATTATGGAATTATGGTTTGTTTATTATGGAATTCTGTATGCGCAACAACAGTCAGGAAAATTTCTCATTCACTCGGTACACTACCAATCCACGCTACGTTTGACTCGGTGCATTACCATACTTTTACATCTATTCGAGATACAAAATATTAAAATGTATTACTGTACGTACTTCAGAAATGCAGAAATCGATTGCTGTCTCCATGGACTCCAACCAGATTTAAATAGAATTATTCAGAAAATAGCCCCACGATCAATATGAAAAAGTCTTATCAAACGTTTACTTACTGTAATAAGTCCTTTTAAGCTGGAGTAGTTTCTCTAAAACGTTTGCACCATGTCCAGCTCGGAAAGCGTTGCTGTTGCTGGTGAGAAACGTTTCTGTTCAAAAGAAAAAGAAACGGTCGAGACTGCGCGTTTTACTCGTTGGCGTTCGCGGCAGAGATTGCCCTTTATGGAAAAGACCCCGCGACAACTTCGTACACACGGAAGGACCTACGAAATTGGGTCGAAAATTTGTTCAAAAACGGCACTGTCCAAACTCTGCGAAGAAAAACCAGCACGCAAGCACCTAGAATTATTTACTCAGGGAAATTCGATTTTAAGTATACTGCCGGAGAAGCTTTTGTAGTGTATAGTAAAGGATTCTCGTGAATGCCAATGTAAAGATGTTGTGTTGTACGAATGTTGTACCTGGCAACTGGCGTAGTTAATGTACATACGCAGTTGCGTTGTTGATGTTTTAGTCTGCTAAGGCGCAGCTCCTGAGCTGCTAATAAACTGAAAGTATTAGCGCTCAGTAAATACGTCACAGCTTTCATTCATGCAGCAATAACAGCTGTTAACGAAAAAAACGGCAGTTAACTTTGATGTGAAAAAATACGTGAAAAAATTTAAAAGATAAAAGGAAATAGACGCAGAAAATGGTAGTGCCAAATGGTTGCGTACAGAGTCAAAGGTAGTGTTCAAAAAGATAGTGTACCAAATGAAAGGTAGTGCAAAGGGTTGTGTACGGAGCAAAAGGTAGTGAAAGGGTGTGTACGGAGTGGTCACCAAATATAAAAGCACTTTTAAAGCGCGGCAACTGTATAGGCAACAGTCAATCTGGTTGGGTGACGCTTAACAAGGCTGGATTAAACCAGTACGAAAGAAGACAACATAAAGTGCCGTTACAAAACACCTACACTATCTTTTCTTCCGTGAATATAACAGAATTCTTCGGCAATTGTGCGTTGATTTTGCAGGACAAGTGCAACGCCCACAATTTCAAATTGATAATATTGCGAAATATTCCTGTACTGCTGTACAGATGCACTGTAATAGTACAGTACATAATTATTAATCAGTGATCACCCGGATCGAGATGTTAAGAAGCTAAAATTAATGTAACTTTGATACAGATATAGGAATACGTGGAATGTCTCTTGAGAAAATTAGAAACATTTCACGCGCTGTGGTGTAGCGTGACTACAGTTAACACAGAGCATTTTTCTCTCCCCAAGGCACAGTCCACCATATTGCACCAGCTGATACTGTTAACAGTCGTACCAAATACGCCGGTGTTTCATAATTGGCTGTGTCGAGTACCGTAATTTTCGTCAAGCAAATCGGCGGCCCTCGATAAAATCGATATCGGTCAGAGGTGGGAGGCTAGAATTATTACTTTAATTAGGTATACTGCTGCAGCATGCAGTGTGTAATGGAAACCTGGCAGCGTTGCACCAAAACCTGGCAGAGCTGTAGCACTGTGGTATTACCGGTAGAATTAGATATCCGGCGCAGATAATCTCACATTTTATTGATTTCTTCTCCGCCAAGCCGAACATTCAACTGTCATACCTTCAGCATTTGAGGCTTGAGGGGAGCTGAAAAACGCATCCAACGGAGCTTTGTACTGCATTCTCAACTTAGCAGAGACAAAAATTTGCCCGGTAATAGCTAAATCCAAGACAGCTCAACACGGTGATTTGTTTAAGAATTTGCGCTTTAAGGAGAATTTTAATTTTGCACCGGTACATTTTTTGCACAGACAGAGTATATAGAAAACCCGTTACGTTCCGCATATTGGGTATGCAGACAGGCAGTGCGTGCTTAATCGGGAAAATCGGTACAAATTTCATGCCAAAATAAAAGCACTTCCCCGGACGAAATGACGGTTTCAAATGTGCAGAGATTGTAATTATTGATTAGGTGTTGAAATATATGCTATCGTTATGGAAAATTCGGAAGCGGAAGGGGACATAAAAGGAATCAGCCGGAGTCCTCCTGTGGATACGGGTATGCATATGCTCAGGTTTCGGTTCTGATGTTTTCTTCCGTTTTCTTATGTTCTATGTTTGCTTCTGTTGTCGTATATTTTTCATACGTTTTCCCTTTATGTTTTATTCTTGTGATTTATCTTAACGTTTCGGTGCAACACTGATGAAGCCTTCAAGATCTGCAGAAAATGTCAACGACAGTATGCAGAACAACGCCCCAAAAACTGACCGCATGGACGGGCTACTTTGCGGAAACCGGGTGGAAACGTCGCCCGGGTCGGTAGGAAATCCTCGTTAATGCGTCCACACAGCAGGCTCAGTATTTCTGCTTGGTTTAGCTGCGCTTCCGATACGGCTGATGTCGAAGCTTGCTGCAGGGGCGGGGGATCCGCAATGGAGACTGCAAAACACTGTCAACGTGAGCGAAATAATCTGTCGGTTCTATCAGTTGCCCTTATTGATCTACCATCTGGCGACTGCACGCACAATCTCCGATATAACAAACAAAAGGACATTTCGCCCAATCTTGCCGGCAAATATGTTTGGCAGCGAGTACGCACATGTCAGCAATTCGCGCGATGTAATGCTGCAAAAGCCGGTGGCGCCGTGTGTGCGGCGTACGAAATCGCTTACGGAGACCAGATTGCCGTGTTCTCCGCGTTCATGATGTCCGTCCTTAAAGCTCAGCAGATCCCGGTACGAGCGTTTATAATGTAGTTATTTGTTCCCGCGCGTTATAGCATCTCGCTTTGCGGCTGCACCTATTAGGTACAGAATATTATGAGCATGGCATATAATAAGCGATTTAGCTTGTTTACAGATTTAGCTTGTTCAACCGCAGACCTCGCCGCAGCGAGCACTGCTGCGAATGCAGGAGAAAGGTCAAGATGACAAACTTCGTTTGGCGCAGTTCGTCGCCATGCTGCCTGGGTTCGAGATCGTTAGTCTGGGTGATCCCGGTATTTTACTAGCAGAAAAAACCTTTTCCAGTGCTTTGGTACGAGCTGTTCTGTACGCTTAATCGTAATACTGTACTTGCTCTATAATGATAATTATACTCTATATATCTGATAATTATACTCTATATATGATAATTACAGTATACTCTATATATCTGATAATGATAATTATACTCTATATATCTGTTTAGTCTCTAAATTGTCGGGCTACTTTGCGCAGTTGCACCACATGCGGTACTTTTACAAAGGACAAAATTACTACACATTACCGGGGCCGGAACACATTCACGCCAACAACTACTGGATGGAGATGATGGGTTTGGATCCTGAATTCCTTCGGTTCTGCTACAAATTCACTGCTGTATTCAACGGAATCGGGCTGACGCTGACGGAATCCTATCTGCTTCTGGCCGCAGTATTTTTTTATCCGCGTATGTAATCTACGAACATAGCTTTTACTCGCACTAGGTTACTAACCGCGATAGTCCAGTCAGGAAATATTAAAGAATACTTTTTTAAATAGACAACCCGGAAAAACTGTTCTGGTTTTTTTGCTCTGCATTACCTTAATTTCTATTCACGAGCGCTCAAGTAAAGTAATATGTTACTCGTATTCCAACGCGGTCAGGACTCAGGGCAAGCGTACGGAAGGTGTAATTAATTTGTGGCCATCGGTTTGGTAGGCTCAACTACCGCGTCGGATAAACCGGCACTCGAACAACTGCACGCGTTTTATACGGATGCGCTGACGTACACGATCGGCTATCGCTGCCGGAATCCGGAGGAACGCGCCGCTGTCTACCACAAACTGAACGAAGCGGCCAAAATGTTCCCCACGGTGCACCAGGTTGCTCTTGCGCGGTATCAAACTGTCGACCGGATGGTGCCACCGTTTCCTGCACCGCTGAGGACGCTGCTTCAGGACTGCTTGAAACAATAATTACTGTGCTCGTATCGAGCCATACGTACGAATGGCACTTTGGCTATCGTACTATCGTAGTTTTCTAGTTTTCTTTTAAAAAAATTATATTTCTTTTAATTTAGACTGGGAAAACGCCTCTGGGGAGGAAAACAATTTTACCCCACTGCTTTTGTCCATAACATAATAAAGTTTGACAGAAGTAAGGACGATGGAAACGTAAATGTCAAAGCATTTAGGTATGTGTGAACTTTTTCTGGTTAGAATTTAATCTCAGAAATTGGATTTTTAAATGAACAAAGTTAAATGAAAACGCACGAAAGTAGATCACAACAAAAACCATATTTATTGCCAGTTTCCTTGCTTTTCCATAACTAAGTTTGACATTTTGTACGTAAAAGAATTTTAGATATTTGAGTCATTGGCAGCGAATATGACGCTGCTTAAAGACATCATTATATCGCGATTGTTGTCAGCATTGCGACGCTGAGCCAAATGGCAATTGACGTAGATCAGCTTCTTCACTCTACTCGCCGGATGCGGCAAAGGTCCGCGCAGAATGCACATACACTGCGGAACATGGCGCGCATGCTGCGCATCCACAAACTGTTCCAGGCAAACGCTTTTCGTCATCGAGGTGACGCATTTCAGAAAACCGGCGAAGAGCGCGTATTTAGGTGTCCACAAGACCGATTGCAGCCCATACGGAAGAAAGAACGCTTTGCTCTGCGGCAACCAGACATCTTGGCACAATGTGGCGAACGTCAGCAAAGCGCCCCATAATGGGCAGACGCGGCGACAGCGCTGACGCTCGATGGTGTTCAGATGCCAGAAAACCTCAGTGAGAAGCTCAGTTGGTAACCGAATACCTCGGAATTCCGCCACCAGTTCGATTGGCACGGTCCGTTTAGCGGGGTGTTGTTGTCCGTCGTTAGCAATTTTGCTCAGCATCGCAGGGCGGTTGACCGTCATACTCAGCATCGCCTCCATAGGGCGGTGGCGCTCGCGATGCTCAAGGTATAGCATCTCCGCCTCGGAAACGCTAGAGACAACGACACTGAAGCGCCGCTCTAGGTCGTGTATGACATCCGACGGTATCAACTCCAAATGCTCTGGATGTCGCCATGTCTGCAGGATGAAGTCGCCCCGCTTAACGACGGCTTCTGCCATCTGCTCCCGTGTCGGAACACAGCGAATCTGCTCCGGTGGAAGCAGTTCACGGGTGGTGTAGCCGTCCAGCTGCGCCTCTACGAAAGCGTAATCGTTCAGCGTGAAACTGAGAAAGTCGGTGATCAGCACAGTGGCTGGGTACCACGTCCATGGGCGGTTGGGATGGGCGCGCAGCAGCACTTGCACGTTCGCGTTGCGCGGTTTGCTTAGAAACTGGTCCTTCCATCCTGTAACGGATCAATTAGACGATTACGAAATACTGGAGATTAAGAAAAAGAACTGATGTATCTCTTTATTTTGTAATGCACTTAATACTCGTATGTAGCGTGTTCACTATCCAGTCGAAGCCATAATCTTTCTATTGCGCTGAATTTAAGTACTAACCAAGGCATGTGCGTTTCTGCAGCGATTTATCCGACGAATCGAAAATCTTCCCAAACTCCACGAACACCGCCTCCTGTGTAGAGCAGAAGAGGTCGACAGTAAGACCGTTCGCTGCTGTGTTAACGACATGCCCGTGTCTCAACTGGCCTTCGATCAGCACGTCCACCGCGTTCCACGCATACACCGAACGACTCCGTCTCTCATACAAATGCATGCTGTATAGCACATCGCGCTAGGGACTTATTGCGTTATTCTTTCAGTCACGACTTCCTGATAGGCACAGGCGTTTCTTAATAGGCATATAGAAAAAGCCTATTAAACGGGCGAATACATTCGGATGTTGTGCAAATGTGAGATACCGAATACACATTGAAAATCAGTCGGATAGCTCAGGTTTATCGACGTCAAAGCTGCATGGATGTTACGGCAGTAATACTTATTATCGCTGATTGCTGCTTATCTTATCGCCTATCCCTTCCAGTACGAAACAAATAATATCTCTCTGTCATACATGCTGCATTTAAAAGTATGCTGCTAAACCATCTTAACTCGAACTGCTGATTTCAGCTCCAAAGGTTGCAAAAGAACTCAACTGCTATCATGACAATTTTTAACTCAGGGAGTACGTGTTCGAAAATTGACGATTTGCCTCAACCAAAACTATTTTAAGGAAAACACGTTAAAATCCGCTTCCGTTGTGACAGTTCCAGTCAATTTCAGGAAAATAATTCTACCAATTATTATCACTTTGTAGTTAATGCTGGCGGGTCTAGTACTTGTATTGGTTTTCTATGCTATACTATGTACTCGGCTAACACCAATGGGCTTCAACGGATTAAGGATAATTTTACCGGATCACACACCCACGAATATGTAGGCAGTAAAGTTTACTTTTGACCAAGGGAAGTAGAACGAGAATACTGATCCAACAAAGCAGGCTTTCTTTGAATAGTTTAAATGATTCAAACTATTACGCGCTCAGCATCGGAATCGAAAAGTACGAGTGCTGTGCATAATTGTGTTAAAGGGTTAGGTCAGTTGCTTCGGCTTAAGGGAAATGGCTCCGTACAAGGCGTCAAAAATGTGATACATACACTAAAACTTTCGCTTTCGCGCACTCCGATTCACTTTTTTGTAATACTTTATGTTATTCTGGAGCTAAATGATTGGTATACATTGCTCTGAATACCGCTTACGCGCGCAACATCTGGTTGCCGAGATATGGCGAACTAAAATGGGCGAAAACTGTTTAAATGCATTGTTGTATTCCAAAAGCCTCGTTATTACCCGATCTTCGTGAAACTTTGCTGCAAACCCACACATGGTCAGGAAGTCGAAAGTGAACCAATATCAGAACCATGGCATATTTTTCCGATTTTAAAATAACTTTCAAAAATTTTTAAAATTCATTTTAAAATTATTGGAAATTCCTATGAAGCTGAAATTGGTTCACTTTGACGTTATGGCCATGTGGCATTTGCAGCAATGTGTCAAGAAGATCGGGTGATAACCAGACTTTTGGTACACAGCAATGCATTTAAACTTTTCGCCAATTTTGGTACGCCATATCTCGGCAACCGGACGTTGCGCGCGTAAACGGTTTTCATAACACTGTACACATATCATTTAGCTTTAGCAGAGCCTAAAATCTTCAAAATCTATGTGAGCACACTTAATTTCGCAAAGAGGGGGTACTGATTATTTGCTCTGTATTTTCATATTGGCTGATATTATCAGGACTCGAGAGCATGTATACAGGTGCAACTGACGTTAGCAAATTTGCAGAAAACTTAAGGGGCGCATAGACGCATCCAGTAAACCTAAAAAAACATGAGTTTTGAGATGGCTCAAGTTGCTAGTCTCTTTCTGCAAGATGGTTGTTAGTATGACAGTGGAATGGATATTTTTTGCAGTTCCTTTGATTTCGAACTGATGCCTCGCGCGAAGCGCGAAGCCTGCTATAAAACGCGAAGCCTACTATAGAAGTGTAGTTACTATAAAACGTGCCCATTGGCACAACTCCCACTGAAAGATAACGTGACACGCATTGGTTTAAAGCGTTTTCCTGTTCGTTTTCGCAAATTTTTGCTCTTTTAAAAAATAAAAAAAAACAATCTGAAGCCGATTAATTACACAGAAGGGGGGAGTATTGACAATTTTTAAGCACAAGTTCCAATCTAGGTGAGCACATGCACCTTTATGTGAGCACATTTTGTGCTATGTGAGCACAAGTTTTTAGGCCCTGACTGCTTTAGAAAGACATAAAGTATTCCAAAACAGTGATTCGGAGTGCGTGTAAGCGAAAGTTTTAGTGTAAGTATCCCATTTTGGACACTATGTACCGGGCCATTTTCCTTAAGTGCACACACAGGTATGATCTCGTATATCGACGTTACCAGTTGTTTGATATAACGCAGGCCAAAGTTTTCTACTAACACTCAGAGCTCGAAAACGGTGATAAAGTGCGTAAACGCAGAGATAACGCTTACGCGGACAAGTAATCTAAAAACCCATCCCAGATTTCGTGATTGCGAATCAGAATATTTACAAGTTTACGCGCTGTTACGTCACGGTTTTTATACGTTTCCCCGTTACCCGGCGCGCAATGGTTACCCAGGTTCAATTCACCTCCACCGTTTATCAATAAAATTATTAGGGATTCTTGTTATGATCTAGCTTGGTTAGCAAAATAAATATTCACGAGACCATCATGGCGAAGGTTCTTCTTTCTCCATTCTCCGTGTAGGACCAGATGATAGTGTCAATCAAGACTCGGAAGTCGTAACGATTTCGGCTGTGCTGTACTGGTAGCTGTCGTGGACAAGCTTTTTTGGCGGTCTTCGAACAAATCGATACCAGTCACAGGCGACAGACTGGAAATGTTACTTCAATTAGGTATATTGTTACGATATACGATGTACCATAGAGAGGTTGCACCAGAAATTATCAGACAACCAGAGCACTCGGTATCAGAATCAGATATCTGGCGCAGGTAAGCTTAGATTTTATTGATTTTTTTCCTTCCAAGCCGAACATTCAGCGTACCCGATATCGTCGTTCCTTCAGCGTTGGAGATTTATGGGAGATGAAAACGCTACCAACGGAGCGTTTTATCGCATGCTCGCTTACCAGAGACAAACATTAGCCCAGGTAGCTTTGTCCGAGGCAGCCTTTAACACGAAGATTTGCTTGAATGAGCGCTTTCACCAGTGCTTGTAATTTTGCACCGGTAAATTTTCTGCACATTTATAGAAATCCCATTACGTTCTCCGTATTAAGTATCCAAACATGCTGAATAGGGAAAGCTTCATGCTAGAATAAAAGGACTTCCGCAGAAGAGTTCACAGTAAAATGAGAAGAGCTTGAAATCATTTGTACTGCTAAATGTAGTATTGTTGTCATGGACAATTCAGAAGCGCACGGTGAAGGAAAGCGATTCAAGCGGAGTCTTTCTGTGGACAAGGGTAGGCATGTGCTCAAGTTTCATATGTTTCCTTGTGCTTTCTTATGTTTTTATGTTTATTCTTATGCTATGTTCTGTTTTTCTTAGGTATTTCTATGCCAAGAGGTTTTGATTATGTTTTCTTTCGTTTTCTTAGGCTTTCTTATATTTTCTTATATTTGCTTATGTTGTCTTATATTTTTCATACGTTTTCTCCTTATGTTTTTTTCTTATGTTTCCTTTTGTTTCTTATGCCAGATGGTAGATCAACAAGCGCACCTGACAGTGACAGGACCAACAGCCTATTTCGCTCACATTGACAATGTTTTGCAGTCTCCATTGAGGACCCACAGTCCATGCTGCAAGCATCGACATCCGCCGTATCGGAAGCGCAGCTGAACCAAGCAGAAATACAGAGCCTGCTGTGTGGACGTTTTAACGAGGATTTCCAGCCGACCCAGAAGGCGTTTCCACCCGGTTTCCGCAAAGTGACCAGTCCATGCGGTGGGTCGGTGTGTTATTCTCAATATTACCCTGCTTAAGCAACCAGTGAACAAGTTTTGCAGATCTCGAGGGTTTCCTCAGTGCTGCCCCGACATTTCGCCCCATTTTGCCGGCACATATGTACGGCAGCGAGTACGCCCATGTCAGTAGTTCCCGCGATGGGATGCTGCAGAAGGCCGGTGGCGCGGTGTGTGCGGCATACGAAATCGCCTACGGAGACCAGATTGCGGTGTACTCGGCGTTCATGACGTCAGCCCTTAAAGCTCAGCAGATACCGGTATGATCGTTTATGATTTAGTTGTTTACTGTATCGCAATGTAACATCTTTCTGCTCTCACCAGGGCCCCCTCCAAATAAAAACAATTTCAGTTTTTGTAAAGGGGTAGTATACTATTATAGCATGACTAAGCATGCTTAAAAAAATTTTATCTGCCATTGTCAAGAGGGCGTGGCCAGAGAACAATTAAAAATTTACACATTATCACTTACCTGACGCTACGTAATGCAGTGCAGTACAAGTTATTCGTCATCAATATATTTACTTTTACTGAAGCACCGAGGACTTTTGCAGCTGTCGAGAAGTCATGTAAAAAAAGCTCACGTAAGGCAGCTCGTGCCATTGCTGCCTGAGTGCACATTTTGAAAATTTTTCATTGATTGCTGTTATAGACAATACGCTGTGTAAAAAAAACCTTTTCTACTGATAACCAGTTACGTGATATATTTCATAACAAATTTTCGAAAATGTCCACTCAGGCAGCAATGACACTAGCTGCCGCAAAGGTGTTTCTTTTACATCACTACTCGACAGCTGCAAAAGTCCACGGTGCTGCAGTAAAACGTTAACATAAAAATAAATACGAATAACTTGTACTGCACTGCATTCCGCAGTGTCATGTATGCGATAATATGTAAACTTTTAATTGTTGTCTGGTCACTCTTTCTTGACAATGGCAAATACAAAAAATTTTTAAGCATACTGCAACAGTATACTACCATTTTACAAAAAATGAGAATTTTCTGCATTTGGAGGGGGCCTATGTACCTTGGTCAGGGCAGAAAATGGTGTACCAGCACTTGCTACGCTAACTCATTTGCTCGTTTACGGTGCAGTACCAACCGCAGACCTCGCTACAGCAAGCACTGCTGCGAATGCTGGAAAAACGCCAAGATGACAAAGCCCGTTTGGCGCAGTTTGTCGCCATGCTGCCCGGGTTCGAGAGGATTAACCCGGCTGATCGCAGTATTTTGCTGGCGGAGAAAACGTTTATCAGTACTTTGGTAGGAGCTGTTCCGTTCTGATATGAAAATACTTGTATGCTGTACCTGATATCAAGACACTTGTATGCTGTACCTGTATCTCACGATTCTCCATCTAGTGCTATTTTTCTGTAGTTGCATCACATGCGGTTCTTTTACAAGGGCGAATATTACTGCATGTTACCGGGTCTCGAGCAGATCCACTCTAGCAGTTACTGGATGGATATTATGGGTGTCGACCCGGAATTTTGCCGGTTCTGCAACAAATTCAGCGCTGTATTCAGCGCCATCGGGCTGACGCTGACGGAATCATATCTGCTGCTGGCCGTAGCGTTTTTTGATCCTAGTACGTATTCTATGAAGGATAACATATACGGCTTACTAATCACGATGTTTCTTTCAACGATTCTCGAAGTGATTGTACACTATATCATTAAATTTTCAACTTTAGACCACCATGAGCTGAGGCGTAAGATACGACTTTTGTTATTTCAACCCTGTCAAGACAAGGGCACTGGAATTGTGATAATAAGGTTGCCGGGTGTTTTGGTAGACACCACTACTGCGTCGGATAAACAGGCACTTGGGCAGCTGCATGCGTTTTACGCGGATGCGCTGACGTACATGATCGGTTATCGTTGCCGGAACCCGGCGGAACGTTCCGCAGTGTACCACAACCTGAACGAAGCGACCAAAATGTTCCCCACGGCGCACCAGATTGCTCTTGCGTGGTACCAAAATGTCGACCGGATGGTGCCACCGTTTCCAGCAAACCTGAGGACGCTGCTTCAGGACTGCTTGAAACGCTAACCATTTCTACTCACTACAAGCCGCATGTATGAATGGTGGTGTGTTTGTAACTTAACGAAATGTTTAGAAATGTATGGGCCTTTGAATTTTGTTGCTTATTTTGTCTTGCCTTTTTTGGTAGCACGTTAGTTTACAGATCTGCAATTCGCTGACCGACAAGTTGTTGCCCGACAATTCGCTTTTCTGCTAAAATGTTGACCGACTTTTTGCGAAAACATTTTTGTTGAACAACAGCTTGCTGTTCGCTTCGATACGTTGGTGTTTGAGTTTTCTCAAGCTATTAGTGTTTTTTCATAGGTTTCTTAGGGTTTTTAGGTTTTTTGGGTTGTTCAAGTCAACAAAATGTCGTCAGCAAATTATCGGTGTTCAGCAAACGATAGTTCAGCAATTTGTCGTTTTAACAAACCGTCGGGTCAACATTTTTTCGGTCAACAAAAAGTCGTCCGCAAGTTGGCTGTCAGCAGAATGGTGGTCATTCTTCACACAAAATGAATTTCAAATTTTCGATTCTTGGCAGCGATTATAACGTTGCTCAATGACACAAGTCGCCAGCAAGTTGGCTGCGAACGCTTTGGCCCTAAAACCGTCCGAAAAACCTGAATACGGATTTAACGTCAGGCCAAAACATCCGGTTATGAATTATACTCATTTTTAAAAAAAGCAAAGAAAGCACTAAGTGGGCAGAATACTGAAAACAATAAGGCAAAACACTAAGTCAAAACATTAAATCAAAAAACTAAGGCAAAACATTAAGTGGGCGAAAACAACACTAAGGGTTGGAAAATAAAAAAAAACGCTAAGTGGGCAAAATTTACGGCAGTAGTTCTGCCGGCCCCGTACGTTCAGGACGATTTAAGGGCCGAAACGTCTGCTGGACATCTCAGACCTTCGGACGTTTTGGACGGTTACATGCACCAATCCGGTCAGTGTCATCACTGACGGAACTGTATTTTATACTCATGGAAATAAAATTTTACGCTTCAGATTGCTGTGTTTATAGTGTAAACAAACATTAAAGGCAATGGTTTATGTAGGCACCAAGTTTATATACGGTCTTTCCTGCAGCCGTAGCACGTCAGTTTCCGTACCGTCGCTTTGCTTCCCGACAGTTTCCTGACCGCCAAGTGTCAATCAGCAAAAAGACGGTAGCGAAAAGTCGTCAGCAAATTGTCGGTAAACAAAACGGCGGACAGCAAATTGTCGGGAAACCCTCATAAGTTCTTCATAAGTTCTGCCTCTTCAGCGCACCCTCTTCTTGTTTTGTTTCCTTATTTAATGCTGGTGGTGTTGTCATAGCTCTGTGGTGTTCGTTATTGGCCTTGAGATCGTCTCCACTATTGTAGATTGTCGCTCCGGAATTTTGTCAGCAAACAGTGTGGGGAAGCACGGACGGCACAATGGGCGAGCGACTAGCTGAATGAAACGCCGCCTATACTGGCGCTCGGTTAGCAGATAAAGGTAGAAGTTCAACGAATAACCCATGAATGTTGTCACATGGATAATTGGTTCCATGAGGTTATTCAGGGTATAGTCGTCGTTGTATGTTAAGCGAACGCCATACCATACTAGGAGTGATGCACACAAATCGAAAAATTTGGGAGCGCGCGTAATGAGATACAGCAATGCGCTGCTTAGTAAGATGATATTGATACCATGCTGTGCTGAAGAATTGCTGGTAGACGTTGCCGCACTGTTGGATTTCTGCAAACGACGCATCGTCCCAAATTCTGATCGCCGGTAGCGCGCAAGAAATGCAATTAAAATTACACTAGGAATAAGAATCAGCAAGAAGGTTAGCACGCGCATCCCAATCTGCAATCACGATAAATTATCAGCACCAAGATGGTCCAAGCAGATATAATATCGAGGCCGATTTAATATCGGAACTTTAAGGAAAGGTCATCGCTTTACGCGTACGATGTATTGAAGTGCCTTCTGTGGGATTCTACATATATCTATCATATAGTGACCTTTCTAGAAATTAAGATGACCGTTCTGCCTGCGTTGTTAATACCTACCAATCCCATTTTGTTGATTTTGAGCCATGGAAGAAACCACTGCGGCGTATCGTCAACTGGTCTGCTGAAATCGTGCATGTAAGGAAAATAATGATGTACAAAGTCGAATACGAAGCTTGCGAGGGATAGCACGACGAGGAATATGATAACAAGTCGTGCCGTGAGGACGCACTGCAGAAATTCAAAGCGAAAAGGGCTCATAACCACAAGCAACCGTTCCCATGAGAAGACAACCAGAATCCTGTAACAATATAGCAACGTTATTGTACTAAAATATATTTTACTGCAGGAAGCGAGGCGCGCTGCGACACACTGAACGGTATAGGACGATAACGAGGTAATTATCAATACCTAAGAAAACCTAAGAAGCGACCAGGAAAACACACAAATCCCACAGAGCACGAGTACTCTCAACAATTTTGTGAGGTTCGAATATAGGAGAATCTTACCAATCGGATAGGTTCATTGATGTATCACCAAACCAGGGGACAAAAAGCGTATACAGGCGCCCGACACCACCATGCATATGATCCCAGTCCGAGAAAAATTTGTCCAATCCGAGCCATCTGGACAAGAAAGCGAATAAGCATCCCACGCTAAAGTGAAACCGACACTGTTTTTTATGTTCATCAAACAGCATACGGCTTTGACCTTGCCAACTTACACAGCTATTAAATCAGCAACGGCTGTGCCGATCATGTAATGACACGCCGACGTCCGCCATGTCGGTACACTTCGAATTAACACCACTAGATTCAATCCATTCCCCACCGTGCACAGAATTAACAGACAGAAAAACACAGCTCGACACGCGAGAAACGAATCACGGACCTGATCGGCAGAAAAAAGCCAAGTGTCAATGACATTTGCTGTTGCATTATTTTCTTGATGTCCTTCACCCCACACGCTCAAATTGTTTTCGTTAGTGTACTGACTGGAGGCATTCACACTGCTATAGAATAATCCGGATAAAACCACGGCAGTGGAATTGTTCATGCTAGCTAGATTTGCTGCCCTTTTAATTCGAACCGCCAAAACTTTGACTAAGCTGCGCTCCTTCGAATCGTAAGTTACGATTCGGGTGTGCACTAAAAAAAACGTTTTGTAGCAGAATGAAAATAGCCAGATTCTTTCTGTTCTCTCTCAGGGCGTGAAATAACACCGTGATTTACCACGATCACATATTAGGCCTTTGGCTGAATAATTTAATGGATTGTTTACTCGCTGATTTAATTACTACTAGACACGAGTCATTAATAATTCATACCATACAGTCTGTTCTGTGGAAGGCAATGCAGCAGGCTTCCGTTGTTCAAACATTTTACCAATAGCGTATCATTATACTGAACAGTAAGTCATTTTAAGTGCTTAGGAAGTCAGCAAAGTCGTTTGCATTTTTCTGTCTCAATAAACTTTATGGCCAAAGGCATCGGTCTACGGACTAGTGGTTTTTCTTGTTCTAGCGGTTATAAGGAACATTTCCTGATAGAAAAAACCTATTATTTTTTTTCTTCAGTTAACAGTCCGTACAAATATTTCTATGGTATATTAAAGAACAGTTAGCGAGCTAAGTGCAGTTAAATTCGTGGCAAATTCCCTGTACTGCTTTGTTAAACTTTGGCTCAGCCCACTCTCTTTGTTGCGCTGTGGGAACGTTTTATGTTGCCGCCGGCCATGCACACGGCCCGATTTTACTGTCCGCGTTCTGTTCTGATCAGTCGTGCTGACAAGCTGGTACCTTTTCAGTCCGCTGATTTAATCCTCTGCTGTTTTCATCTACCACCCGCCCACCCTACATGGTGGATTTTGTTGTTATTGCTTTTGCAACTGGTCTGTTACTCAATGCAATAAACGGGGGCAGTCGGGCGGAAGTGGGGATATCGGATACTCGAACCGGTGAGGTCATCACCTGCACCTTCGATCTCGCATATGCCGCCGCGCCGTCGACCTGTTCGTCCCGCAAACGCCCAACTTTGTCCGATGCCTGAGTGTACAGAATTTCCACAAGAATTTAAAAGTTCAATACTATAGCGGTGATCTTTTCTCACAATACAGGAACGGTAATACACAACTAGGAAAATGCAACGATTGGTTAACTGGCAGACCGGAGCGCAGTTTCCACATTTTTCGATCAAAAGCAGTTTCTACCAACCTTTGTTACATAATACATATACTTCTACCTACCTTGGCTACGTAGTACATAGTGGTTAATAACTGCCAAACGAATATTTTCGGCACGGCAGATCGGCACTGATCAAATCGGCACACGATTATTTTCACATAGTCATTCAAAAAACTGCGTATAGTTAGACGCAACGGGAACAGGTGAAATAACTGATGCACATCGGAACTCCGAGAATCGAAAAGAGTGTGACGGTGTGGCAGGAGGTTACAGAGATAATACAGAGTTACGAGGTACAGATGATAACTAGTAAGACAGCGGTCAGCAAATTGTCGGTCTGCCAACAGAAGCGCGTAACAGAAACGCCTGCAAAGCGCCAGCTCTACAAAACCAAGAACTAATAAGCTCCTTGCAGTTGAAAAGAAATCCTCAATCTTGCTTTGCACTTTGCTGCAATGCACTGGAAGAGGTGATCCGGTTCGGCTGGTTATAAGCGGCCGGTCGAATCCGGCTGGCCGCTCTGCCACAGGTTAGCTTTTGACAAAGGGTCATTGACGGAGTGGCGAAGATGTGGTCAGCAAGCGCACATAATTTTCTCCCATGCCGATGTTACTTGACCGCTGTATTTTGCAATCATTTTCGTTACTTCCCTTATTAAAAAAAACGAAAAACATCAACTTGTAATAAAGTACCAAGCCGCTACTTTATATCACAGGCATGCTGACCAACATCACAGCAACAAGCTAACCAAACAAATTTCCTGTTAATTACTCGTAATAACACATTAACGCAGCAAGGTAAAAACATCAAATCAGAAGCTCTCCTGGAATTCCTGACCGCAAAGCAAATCTTTTCTCTTCTTTTACGACACGCCCAAACCCCTCTTTTCTCTTTTTTTTGAAGCCAGATGTTTGTATACATGGGCGTGAAAACCGTTAGCGCGCGCAACATCCGGTTTGGGAGTTATGACAGTTAGAAAATTCAAAAAAGTTTAAATGCAAAGTTATACGTTCAGGTGTAGTAGCCAAAGCCTCATTATGGACCGATCTCCTTCAAATTTTGCACGTAAATGCTCATGGCATGATAATCGTTTTTACACCGATCCAGGCATCCATGATTTTTTTCAAATTTTAAAATAAATTTTAAAATTTTCGGAATTTATTTTAAAATTTCAAAAACATGCTAGAACAGGGGATGGGTGTAAAACCGCTCTTCGTGGTTAAGTGCACTTACATGCAAAATCTGAAGGAGATCGGTCCATAATGAGACTTTTGGTACACCTGAATGCATTTAAACTTTTTGGAATTTTCGAACAGCCGAATTTTCGAACAAACCGGATGTTGCGCGCACAAACGGTTTTCGCGCCAGTGTATACAAGCCGTCTGGCAATAGAATGTCATCAACCAAAACAAAAATGTATTTGGGAGTGCGCGACAGTGAAAGTTTTCGTGCAAGTACAGGAATTTGTTACCATGCACCGGGCCATTTCCATTAACAGAGTTCTGCCAAACGTTTTCTGACCAGTTCACGTTTTGCTTGTTTATATATATAATATATATATAATATATATAATATATATATATAATATAATATATAATATATATGTATATATAATATATATATATATAATATATATTTGAATAATATATATACATTATATAAACATTTATATATATATATAATATATATATAATATATATATATATATATATAATATATATATATATAATATATATTTGAAAAGTTTTATGTAAATTTCTTAAACAGATTAAAGGTTAATACTGCACAACACAAGCTGTACAATCTAACATAACAAATTCTCTGAATCCCATACGTCCTCTGAACTGGGAATTCTATGCTTGACTGGGAACGTAATTGCGATGGTTACCGGTATTTTAAGCAAATAGTCCTCCTACTGGCGGCACATTATCCAAATTCGTAAGCATTAAGCAACTAGCGCTATTATTATTTGCGTCCTATCATACGGGATACCCAGAAAGGCATGAAAATACGCATACTCGAAGAAAATCATTTCAGCGAAAGATGGGAATGATGGAAAATAATAATGTGGATATTTTTACACTTCAGTCTACACTCCATAACTAGCTAATGCCATACAGGTAGGACGGATTTACGCCCACACCCGGCAGACAGCTGTAGGAGCTCCGATGTTTACTGATGCGGCACATACATTTTTATCGATTGTTTTACCCCAAAGTCGAGCCGATGCTGCACCTATCAGAGGTTGCGATATCACGAGAAACGTAAAAATGCCTCCAGCGTCGGTATTCAGGGCTCTCCTGCACGGATACCTAAACCGTATACCCTTTCTAACGTAATAGTAATTATTATTTCATGATGATTTCGGGCGTTGATGTATGAAAGTGTTAATTTCGCTAAGATATTTTATCGGAATATCTCACTGTACAGTGTGTATATTTTCAGAAGACATTTTATTTTATCGAGTAAGGACATTTGTTGCACTATTTTAAACCAGTCTGAAAGAACTGTGTACCGCAGTAAAACGACATCCGAAGACGTGACAACTGCGGTCACTGCATGGTGCCAGTTCCGTAGGCATCTACGGGGTTTTTCGCTTCTGCCCAGGACCAAACAAATTTTACGCTGTTTTATGCACACGAATTTTCTGTCATGCTTTCTTTACTGGAATATTTGTATTTCCTGCAGCATGCGTTTACAACTTTTGCAGATTCAATTCTAGAAAGCTAAATGCGATCATATTATTTCGATGGAGGAGTCAGGCGGGCATGGCAAACGGAAGCAATCGGAGCGGAATAATTCTGTGGACAGAGGTATGATGGCATTTGGTTGTTCGGGCTTATGCTGGTATTTTGCAGCACTAGATAAATTTAATCAACTATTTGCACGCCCGTTCAGTTTGGTTATAATTATGGCAAGCTAATCGTTCGATTGGCAGTTTGAGTTATAATCTGCACGAACCGAGCTGCGTTCCGCTTTCTGTTCCAAGTTTCTTTAACAGAGTGTAACCTTTACAGAATATCTACAAATTTTAAAACTGTCTTTAAGCTATTTGCCTTGTGAAAAAATTTCAGCCAAACACCCCGATTCACGCCACGCGAGCAACCACCAAACATGTGCAGGCGCGGAGCGTCTTTAGGCCAATGTCTGGCCGGATTAGGCCAAGATTAAAAAGAGGAAGGGAAAATTAGAACGAAGGGATTTTGAGTAGCCACAACGAGGAAAGGAATTTCCATTGTCAAAGAAACTTAAGGGAAGTGGGCCGGTACATGGTACCAAATTCGTGTGCATGCACGAAAACTTTCGCTATCGCGCACTTCAAAACACTTTTTCGTTTAGGCTTTTTCAAATTTGAAAATTTGAAAAACATGCTAGAACAGGGGATCGGTGTCAAAATGTTCTTCATGGTTATGCGCATCTCCGTGCAAAATTTGAGGGAGATCGGTCCGTAATGAGATTTTTGGTACACCTGAAATGCGTTAAACTTTTTGGAATTTTCTAACAGCCATAAATCCTGAACCGGATGGTGCGCGCACAAACGGTTTTCACGCCAGTGTATACAAATCTTCTGACTACATAATGTCATAAACCGAAACAAAAAGTGTTTGGGAGTGCGCGAAAGTAAATGTTTTCGTGCGTGTACACGAATTTGGTACCATGTACCGGGCCACTTCCGTTAACATAGAGAACTCTGAGGTATACTCCAGTCTTGCATATAAGGGGCGAGGAAACCGGCACACGGACAACTTTATCTTTATAGCCCTTTATCAGCACACCACCAACTCGCTGACGACCATCTTGCTGACCGACAACTTGCTGGCGACTTTTAGCTGACCGACGAGACAATGACCCGACAGTTTGTTGAAACGACCAATCGCTGAGCGACATCTTGCTGAACGACTTTTTGCGAACACCGACAGATTTTGCTGACGTGTGAAACCCAAGAAATCTTAGAAACTTAAGAAACCTAAGAGCTCTAAGAAACTTGAGAAAAAAACAAACTGAAGTACGGGGTACTCAAAAATCAGCGCCTCGAATCGTAAAGCAAGTTGTAGGTTAGCAAAAATGTTTCCACAAAACGTCGGTCAACAATTTAGCAGAAAAGCAAATTATCCGTCAACAATTTGTCGGTCAGCGAGGGGTGTAAGTTATCAGCTTGTCGGTCAGCAACTGGTCGGGCAGCAAGCTGTAGGTCGGCGAATCGATGTGCTACCGAGGAGAGGTAGCTCTTTAGCGCTGTCAGCAGATTCAGTTGCGATTTGTTAGGTTATGAGTCGCATCAAAAACGTACTATCCTCACACATATAAGACAGAAACCGGTTTATGGAATTAATATTTAATAGGCCTACCTTTAACTACTGCGGCCTTATTCCCTTACCACGTTACCATACAAAATGTGACCTCGAACGACAGTGCGAGAAAACGAACACCGAGATCACACGGTTTCAGTAAATCATAATTTCTGTAGTCACCATGAATGATCCACCATTAGCTGACCGTGCATCGAGCTCCAACCTATTGGAAACCCAGCCGGACCGAACAGAAGTGCAGATTCTACTGCGTGGAAATTTTAACGAGGACTTTCTGTCGACATCCAAGACTTTTCCGCCCGGTTTCCGCAAAACTGTCCCTCCATGCGGTCGGAGTCCGCGCTGTTTCTACCATTCTGCAGTCAGTGCAGTGTTTAGGCCAACAAAAAATATTCATATTTTTTTGCAGAGCTTCAGGGTTTCATGGGTGTCGCAGCCACCTTTCGCCCTGTTTTACCGTCCAGTTTTTATTGCGCTGAATTCTCAAACGTAGTCAGTTCCCGCAATGTGATGCTGCAGAAAGCCGGTGGCGCGGTATGTGCGGCGTACGAAATCGCCTACGGCGACCAGATTGCCGTATACTCGACGTTTATGACGTCCGTCCTTGAAGATCAGCAGATCCCGGTACGATCGTGGTTGATAACTTTAATTTTTTTTATTTATTTTTCGCATGTTAACACTTCGCTGCAGAAAATTATCACCATGGGTTGTAATAATCATTTTTACCAATTTACCGTGCAGTATCAACCACAGACATTACCGCAGCGAGCTGTAATGCGGTTGCATGAGAAACTTGAAGATGGGAAGGTCCGTCTGGCGCAGTTTCTCGCCATGCTGCCCGGGTTCGAGAACATCAGCCCGACCGATCGCTCCATTTTATTGGCGGAGAAAACGTTCATCAGTGCTTTGGTACGAGTAAACGCATGGCGATTATACGTTTACTCTCCATAATTATTATGGTGTCACGTTTCGTAGCTCCATCACATGAGATTCTTTTACAAAGGACAATATTATTACCCATTACCGGGACCCGAACAGATTCACGCCAACAACTACTGGTTGGAGATGATGGGTTTGGATCCCGAATTCCTCCGCTTCAGCTACCAATTTACCGCTGTATTCAAGGGGATCGGGCTGACACTTACGGAATCTTATCTGCTTCTGGCCATGGCGATATTCGATCCTCGTATGTATCGTGCAATATGTGTTATGAAAGCATAATACTGTGGTAATTTTATTTGGCTTTATTTTGTTATTACTCGTTCGAGCACAGTGTGTTTCCGCGTGACTCAACAAAAGCGTACAATGATTACGGTTGACGGTTGACGGGTTTTTCTTAGGGACGACCACCGCTTCAGATAAAGCGCTACTCAGTCATCTGCACACATTTTACGCGGATGCGCTAACGTACATGATCGGTAATGGTCGCCGCGACCCGGCCGAACGCGCCGCTGTCTACCGCAAGCTGAACGAAGCGGCTAAAATGTACTCCTTGGTGTACCAGATTTCACTTGGCTGGTATCAAAATGTCGACCGGGCGCTGCCTCCGTTTCCCGTACCGTTGAAGACGCTTCTTCAAGACTGCTTGAAACGCAAGTTTCTCCACATCCATCCATTTAGCTACACTCCGTGTAGCTAAATGGATGGATCTTCGATTTTGAAAGATAACCTACATCGAGCGCGGTTTGGATTTGGATGGGTGACCACTCTGAGTTCAGGCTGCGAGTGCAAGGCTGTGTGCGAAGTGGTTAGTCGGCATCAGCGCTGACCGTACGGAGTGGCGTGTACGTTTCCTCGACGCCTGTGGTCAATACGGATTCTACATGGATCAACTCACCACTTCGATGCCGTACGTGGACGTACGAAGGGGCCTCAACTTCGACTCAACTGTGATACGGATGCGATATAGAGTGATACTGATCTTGTTGTTCTGTGGCTTTGTGCCTTGTGCATGACGTAGCTTTGTGCCCGTATTAGCCTACAGCAATTCTGTGACGTGTTGCTTCTCTAGCGTACGTATTACTGGTGTTTAACGAGTTGTGGTGACTTGACTAGCCTTAGCATATTTGATGTTCTCAACGGATAAGGATATGTGAGAGTGCCCGTTTACGGGCTTGGCTACTCGAAATTAAATCAATCAATCAATCAATCACACTTGTATACGCACAGACAGGCTTGGCACGAATTTATTGTGTGCGATGTAGAGTGTTTTACGACGGATACTTAAGAAATGTATTTTTCGTAGTCATCGTTGTTTTTTGCATTTTTTTTTCGAGATATCGTAGGTGATTTCCTGTAAACGAAAATTGCGCGGTATACATTAATTTTATCTGCCACTCTGATGTTACGAGTATAGAAGTTTTCGTTCCTGGCACATTTACCGCGCAGTTTTATCAACGGTAAAGACAAATTTGCAGCGGCAGTCACAAAAATCACACTTACAGCAGTTTCGCTTGCGTATTCAGCAGAAAGGTCAAGATAACCGGGCGCAGTTTAACCACCCCCAATGCCTCCGGTCTGCGGGGATCTGATCCAGGTTAGACGGGAAACGTAAGATGTAAAGAACCTTCTCAACACTTTATTATGTCTGCAGTCTTAGAACTCACGGCGGCACTGTTGTTATTTCGTTAGATCTTACCTTTATTAGGAGAGCGAATTGCCTTTCTCTACAGTTCAAGGTAGAATGGCGCAACGGTGACAAAACACATTTTACAGTGAGAACACTAGCGCAGATACATGTCTGCATGTGCTATGACAATGTCATACCAAATTTGATTCCAGGATTGCCAATTATGTACATGGAAATGGAAAAACATGAAAATGGAAATCAATTCCGTTATTTGTTTTTTGTTGCTGTACATTTTATCATTCGTCATTTTGCGGATGATGTACACAGTACGGCATTCCTAGTAAAAAGATCGGCGAGTCTGGAAAAAATTAATGAGTAAAATTCTGTACGTACGCAGAATTTGTTTATTATTGGCCGAACGTAACTGACCCATCTCTGTCGGCATTGGCCGGGAGGCCACTGACGGTTGCAGAGCGACCAAAACCGGATCCACTGCCCGCTTATAAAAAGCTGCCAGCCGGATCACAACTTCCAGTGCCTCACAGCTAAACGTAGAATTCGTTTTCTAAAGTTGGCTAAAGATGTTGGCTAAAGATGTGCAGGGCAAATACGCAGACGCACTACGCGAATTCTTGCAGTATCAGCAGTTTCTGGCAGGCAGACGGTGTCGGTATGAGGACGAAGCAATCGTTCTCTTCGACAACGAAATGCGCAGCTTTGCAAAAGATGAAAAATTTGCACTTACTGACAAAAGCGAGCAGCTTGCTATTGCAGACAACAACCTGAACGCAGACACTCGGCGTACGGACGCCTTTCGACGCATCGGCAACACGCAGCAGAACCGGCCTTTTCGTGGCCGCGGACAACAGCAGCACACCGGATTCGCTACGCACCCGGCATTCCAGACTCCCAATTGTTGCCTGGATTACAACCGCACGACTTGCGCAAGAGGCGACAGCTGCCGATACCGGCACGTGTGCGGATACTGTGGAGGCAAGCACCGCGCCGTCAACTGCAACTCGAACCAGGCCGGAAGCAACGGACGTTAGCGACAGCATTGGCAGTGCACGTGTTACTAACCGGCAACCTTGTAATAGCATAGCAGAGCACAGCAGCATTCATTTGGCAGATGATAACAAATGTTTTGATTTTATTTCGGTTAAATGTATTTCTCATGAAAAAGGTTTCAATGTTAATGGTGTTAATTACCTCCCTGCCGAAGACTTACTGCAACGCTGTTCGTTAACTCGTAATGTGCAGTTCTGGATAGCTGAACTTTCGGATGACACGGATTTGCATTTTTTAATAAACGGCATTTATTACGGTTTTCAACTTGTTCCGGATATGGATGCAGTTTTACCCGCAGAGGGAAAAAATTATAGCAGCGCACTTAATAATGAGACAAAGCCATTGCTTGACCGGCTTTTCGCAGAAGGATTATTAGCAGGCAGAATTTCTGAGCAGGATACAAAATCGCATCGCATACAGGCCATTGGGGCAGTAGCAAAATCCGGGTCACTCACTCCCAGGCCCATTACTGATTGTTCGAGACCTTTTGAAAATTCTCTCAATTCGTACATTGAACCGGAATCTTTTAAATTTGATACGGTTCAAGATGTTATCGACCTTAGCAGCAGTAATTGTTTTTTCGCAGTCGTGGACATAAAGTCGGCATACCGGCACGTGCCGATATATCCACCGCACAGGCAGTTACAAGGTTTCAAATGGGGCTTTGGACACGAACCAGAAAAATACTTTGTTGATAATTTTTTATGTTTTGGACTGGCTAACGCTCCCGCAATTTTTCAACGAATATCTAGCGCAGTAGCAAGAAAGATGAGGAAACTGGGGTTTCACTGCATCTGTTACTTGGACGATTTTATTTTAATAGCGAAAACGTATGAGCAGTGCGCAGAAGCACAGAAACAACTTTTGCGGTTGTTAGTGTGCTTGGGTTTTGCAGTAAAATGGGAAAAAGTCATCAGCCCCACGCAGCGCATCCAGTTTTTGGGTCTGACATTAGACTCGCAGTTGCAGTGCATTATTTTGCCGCAGGAAAAATTGAGTAAATTAGCAGAAGCAGCATTGCATTTCGCAGCACGGAAGAAGGTCTCAAAACGAGAACTGCAGGCGTTGATTGGACACATGTCCTTTGCATCTCGGGCAATCGCAGGTGCGGCTACATTCACGCGGTACTTCATCGACATAATGATGAGCCTAAAGGCACCGTCGCATCTTGCGCGGGTCACCCGCCCAATGCAGTGTGCATTAAATTGGTGGGCGAGCTTCGCAGCAGCAGTAAACGGCAGAGTGCAGTGGCCAGTTGCAGTGGCCAACCGCCCCCGAGCAGTTATACACACGGACGCTTCGTTTAGCGGTTTTGGAGCAACCATGGATAACCACTGGATGGCAGGCTGTTGGAAAGCAGGTTACCAGTTGCCTGGCGGACTAAAAGCACTAAGCGGAAACTGGATTGCAACTCCGGCAGTTGACAGCACACTACAAGAAAACATAAACTTTCTTGAGCTTATCGCAGCGTGCTTGCCCATATTAATATGGGCACCGATTTTGACTGGCAGACGCGTGGTAGTCACATCCGACAATAGCTCAACCGTTGCTTTCATTTGTCGTGGTACGACCAAGAACAGTGGGGCGTTGCAGTGGCTTAAACTTTTATTTAATGTGTCCCTGAAGTACGACCTTTCGGTTACGGCAGTGCATTGTCCAGGAATCACAAACGTGGCAGCTGATTCCCTTAGCAGAATAACAACGGATAGCAGCCATTTTGACAGATTTCTTTCCGTTTTTCGCAGTTTTCCCGGGGAAAGGCTACCGGAAACAACGAACACCTCGTATCCCAGAAGCGGAACTGGAGAAACAGCTGAAAGACTTGCGGAAAGCTGGCACAGCAGTTTCATCGCAGCGAACACGTCGTTCCCAGTGGAGCAGGTTTAAGCAGTTGTGCAGTGCATATAAGCTTCAAGCAGTCCCGGCTTCGCCGCATACAATTTGTTTGTACATTACGGAATTGTCTCGCAGCTCACTGCAGTACTCAACGATAATAAACTACGTTGCAAGTTTGGCGTCGTTTCATCATTTCCATGACACGGTAGCACCGGATCTGTCGCATTTTACAATAAAAGAAGCCCTTGCTGGAGCGCAGAAGCAGTGTGAGGAACTGCCTCACAGACGTAAGGGAATTAGTCCGGAAACACTGGTCGCAATTCGAAGGCACTTGCGCTTTATACCTGAAGCAGCGCGAAGAACGTTTTGGGCAGCGTGTTTACTAGCATTTTTCTCGCTTTTTAGGAGTTCAAATTTATTTTGCTCCAGCAGTAGCAGCAATCGGCATGTGTTAGTAAAACATTTGAGTCGGACCTCTTCGGGGTATAAGATCACCGTACCCGCGCTAAAATCCAATCGCTATAAGAATGCGTTCGTGGAAGTCATCATACCGGAAATCGCACACGCAAAGGAACTGTGTCCGATGGAAGCCATCAAAAGCATGCTTGACAAAGTCGTGCTAAGGAAAGTGATCACCTTCTCTCCTTCCGCAGTAATAACGTCCTCAAAAGCTTTACGGCCAAGCAGTTTAACAACTACCTCAAAAAGGTGGTACGCAGAGCAGGTTTTGACGCATCGCGTATCTCGACGCACTCATTTCGCCGTGGAGGGGCGACTCTGGCAGCATCAATTGGAGCGTCGGCAGAAGTTGTGAAAGCACAAGGTAATTGGCGCAGCAGTTGTTATCAGAAGTACATTACTCTGGATAACGAGCGCAGACACGAATTTGCAGCAATTATGGCATCGTACGCATACCAACAGTGAGGCGTAGAGGTTTGGGGGTTCGGAGGCTTACCTGCGTGCGTGCAGGCGTTGATGTTCTGTTTACGTTGTACCGGCAGACAGATTCGTTTGCCAGGGATTTTTGTGAATTAAAATCCACCCCCCATGCACCTGCTGTTGTTCGCCTTTCCGTCCTAGTAGTCGGCAATAATGAGTAAAATTCTGTACGTACGCAGAATTTGTTTATTATTGGCCGAACGTAACTGACCCATCTCTGTCGGCATTGGCCGGGAGGCCACTGACGGTTGCAGAGCGACCAAAACCGGATCCACTGCCCGCTTATAAAAAGCTGCCAGCCGGATCACAACTTCCAGTGCCTCACAGCTAAACGTAGAATTCGTTTTCCCCGCCCGCCCACCGCCATTTGCAGGAGGAACGGGAGGATACCGACCATGGATCTCGTTCGCATTGAAAGATTTGCATTAGAGATTTGTTTTGACTTTTTGTCGTAGAATGATGTTCTTGTGAGGCTTACCTGCGTGCGTGCAGGCGTTGATGTTCTGTTTACGTTGTACCGGCAGACAGATTCGTTTGCCAGGGATTTTTGTGAATTAAAATCCACCCCCCATGCACCTGCTGTTGTTCGCCTTTCCGTCCTAGTAGTCGGCAATAATAAAGGCAATTAGCACTGCAAATGGAAATATTAAACGTGACTTGGT